CAACTACTAGTAGTACTAGTATATTGATATTATTGTTAATTATGCTAGATATTAATTTAAGAAATATTAATTGTCAATATGGTTATCCTAGTCAAAATGATAAACTAGCTACTATGGAAGAGGAAAATAAAAACTATCAAGTGACTTACGAAAAAAATGTTAAACAATTTGGAGATGAAGGTTTTTTTTTAAATATTTTTTTTTTTATAAATAAATAGTTAAAATAAATTTAAATAATTTTTGTGTATATTAATATATATATAAGGTTGTGACCCTGATCGAAAACAATATAAATGTCCAAATAGTCAATGGTGTTGTCGTCAGGGTACATACGATGGCGATCATTACGCTGATAATTGTCCCGATGGCCAACACTCATGTATAGAAAAATGTTGCGATAAACAAATGCATTACTATTGTCGTAGAAATAGTGAATCTAGTGATAATAAATTTTATGATTGTAAATATGAAGGTAATAAAAAAAATAGTTTAGTTATCTACTACTATTTGTATTTGTAGTAGTAGTAGTAGTAGTAATATTACATGTAGTGGTAGTAGTAGTGGTAGTAGAATTAACTATAAATATAAGGTTAAAATGTATCATTGAAACTGTTATTAGACACTTAATACTATTACAAGATTAAGATTATTTTTAAAATAATCTTATAAAATTTCTAAAATAATAAATATTAAAAAAAATTAAAGGACCAGATACAACAACACAGTCCAATAAAGTAAATGATGGTAAAGAAGGAAATACATATCAAGATGGAAATGCAGGTCAAGAAGGAAATGCAGGTCAAGAAGGAAATGCAGGTCAAGAAGGAAATACTGGTAAAGAAGGAAATGCAGGTCAAGAAGGAAATACAGGTCAAGAAGGAAATGCAGGTCAAGAAGGAAATGCAAGTCAAGAAGGAAATGCAGGTCAAGTAGGAAATGCAGGTCAAGAAGAAAATGCAGGTCAAAAAGGAAATGCAGGTCAAGAAGGAAATGCAGGCCAACAAAGAGTTTGGGGTCTACAAGGAATTTGGGGTCAAAAAGATATTTGGCGACATGAAGAAATTGGTGGTCAAGAATTAATTATACGTCAAAAAGGATTTGAAGGTGAAGAAGAAAATGCAGGTCAAGAAGGAACTGTACGTCAAAAAAGATTAGGAGATCTAGAAGGAAATGTAGGTCAAGCAGGAAATACAGGTCAAGAAGGAAATACAGGTCAAGAAGGAAATGCAGGTCAAGAAGGAAATGCAGGTCAAGAAGGAAATACAGGTCAAGAAGGAAATACAGGTCAAGAAGGAAATGATTAATTAGAATAAATGAGTTTATAATAGATAGCAAAAATTATTAAAATAAATTATTTTTTTTATTTTCTATATAATTGTGTGTTTGTAATAATAAATGATCCGATAGTTAGTATTACAATATTAAACGATATTTTGTTTAGTATTAGCTTTACAATAAATACCATTGCTATCAATCTATATATATTATAGAATTTAATTTTTAAAATTATTAATTAGAGTTTTTTTTATTGAATTTTATTGAATAAATATTAATATTTTGAAGCATATGTTTTTCTAAATAGTCTATTTAAGTTTAATATTATAGATATTAAAAAAATAATTAATTATATAGTAGTTTAAACTAAATAATTTTTTTAATTAGTTATAATAAAAATATTGAATTAATAAAAAATTTTTATATTATAAAAAACAAAATCTCCATTATGGACTTGMTTACTAAAAATTTATCATTATTATCATTAATAATAATAGTACTAATACTAATTGATCATGGTGATGCTGATAAAGAAAGTAATAATATATTAAAAAATAATAAATGATAAAAAAACATTTTAATAGTTAAAATGATAATAGTTATATATATATAATAAAAATTTAACAATCAACAAAAAAAAACAATAATTTTTACTATTATATTTTTAAGGAGTACTACTAATAATTAATATTAATTGATTAATTAAAAATATAAATGTTATATATTTTATAAATTTTTTTTAGAGGACACTTGTAAATGCGATGGTTACCATGGTAAATTTTGTTGGTTAGACGCCAATAAAAAAGAGGACAATCGATACAGTCTTAAAGGTATTTGTCGTATGAATATTGTCTATACATGCGATCGAAATCGTTTCGATAAGAAAAACTATGAACCCCTGCGTACCGAATGTCCGAAAAATAGTTTATGTACTAAACAAGGATCGAAAGCTGCAAATGCTAAATGTTCACAACCTGGTGAAAAACGAGTAAAATTTCATGACGATAATGCTAGTGGTAAAATTTTTAATTTTTTTAAAAATTAACTTTGTTTTTAATAAAAAATTAATATTTAAAAAATTAATATTTAAAAAATATATACAATTTTCTAGTTTATCTATTTTATTTTTTTGATAATGTCTTAATTATTTGCTTTTCTATTATTGCTTTTTAATTTTAAATATATATATATATATATATTTAATGTTAAATATTTTTTTTATAATTTTTTTAGCTGCTGATCATGAGCAACTGGCAGATAATTTGAAAAGTACTAAAAATTAATTAAATTTAAATAATAAATAGGACAAAAATTATTTTTATATGTATTAAATTTTTTTAAAATTATAATATAATTTTTATTTACTAATAAATGTTTTAATAAAATAATTTTTAAAATTTTTATACATAAAAATACTAGTAAAAATTAATGAAATATTTTTTAATTATACTAAATAAATTAATGAAATATTTTTTAATTATACTAAATAAATTAATTAAAAAATATTCATAGCCATTTTATATTAATACTTTATTATTTATTAATTTTTTATTTTATATATTTAATAATAATGGTCAACATGCTGTTAATTATTAGTCCTAGTCGATTAGTTATATTATTAATAACTACTATAATTCTACTAGATACATTTAGTCAATTAAATTGCCAAGATCAAGGTAAATTTAACTACCGACATTAAAACAAGCATGTCATTTTATTTTAAAAAACTAAAATTAACTAGCGTAAAACTTTTTATATAATAAAAAAAATAGTTTGTAACCTTGGTCGAAAACAATATAAATGTCCCAATAGTCAATGGTGTTGTCGACTATCATTCGGAATAAATTACGCTGATAACTGTCCCGATGGCCAACACCAATGTATAGAACAATGTTGTGATAAACAATTGCATTACTATTGTCGTAAAACTTATGATTCTAGTGATAATAATGGTTACTATTGTAGATATGAAGGTAAGGATTTTTTTTTATATAAAACTAATCTCTCTTTCTCTCTCTCTCTCTCTCTCTCTCTAAAATTAATAAAAATTTACTAATCTAGGACCAGATACTACAACAACTCAAACTATCAACGAAAATAATGATAAAAAAGGAAATACAGGTCAAGAGGGAAATGCAGGTCAAGAAGGAAATGCAGGTCATGAAGGAAATACAGGTCAAGAAGGAAATGTAGGTCATGAAGGAAATGCAGGTCATGAAGGAAATACAGGTCAAGAAGGAAATACAGGTCATGAAGGAAATACAGGTCAAGAAGGAAATGCAGGTCATGAAGGAAATACAGGTCAAAAAGGAAATGCAGGTCAAAAAGGAAATGAAGGTCAAGGAGAAATCAATGGATCTGTTTATTTATTAGCCCTTTAATTCCGACATTGTATAGCCTTTACCGCCGCTTACATTCACAGTTTGTCCATAAATAATACTGAACTCAAATTAATGATCTAGATTATTAAAAATTAAATTGAATTACAAATTTTATTTAAATAAAAATTTATTAGATTAAAAATATACTGTATACAGTAACATTTCATTGATCATACCAAGATCATACAGGTGTCCACAATTGATTAACTAGTTCCTATTACATACAAAATCAACTAGTACCAAGGTGATTTAATTGATGCTCAAATTTAGCTTGTTACAATATCATTGACTCAAAACTATAACTATGGTTAACTGATTTCAATATGATTTACTCCAGTTTATCTACCGTTTCATTTCCAGCACGTATTTGTACTAACAATGTACTTAAGACACGTGTAGTCAACGATTTATATACAGAATAATTAACCAATAAATCAGTCAATTCTATAATTACTTGGTCTCTGACATACGGTTCCTGTTTAGAGAAATCTGTATACAAATCGTTCAATTGTTGTTCAATTCTAGATATTTGGTCAAACAATTGGACACATCGTCGGACTATATGTTAGCCGATATCATGGATTAGTGCCGATTCTTGTATCTCAAGATCATGTAATTTGCGTAAAACATTTACCGGTGTCAATACATATCCTAGTTGTTTACCTCGACCTAGATTACCCGATTTCAATTGACCAGGTGCAGATTTCATAAATATTAGGGCTCTCTATGTTTTGCGCGGTTCAATATCGGGTAGTATACCGCCAAACAATTCAAACAACGAATAGCCGGTTATATTTGAATAATTGGTGTCCGTTATGTTCATAACAGATTCATCATCGTATATATGCAACAATACGGCATTGATATTAACATACAAACTACCTTGTACATTTTTATAGTCAACATTATCATCCAAGTTAAACGCTAGTTTACCGCCCCCATTGAATCCCCGACCAGTATGTGAGTCAAGTCAAAACGTGATAAGGCATCGAAATTGATTAGCGTTTTCAATCCCTTGATCAGTTAAGCTCAGAGACTCGAAACGGGTATCAATGGATTCAATTAGGGCTACCCGTGCGCTACGTGCAATTGATTTACTATGTTGCAGATATATTTAGCTGAACCACCTAGTTCAATTGTGACTAAACCGGCCATAAATGACAATTTTAGACTAGCATCTACATCTAGTTTATAGAATTTATCATACAATATATTGGCCATGGTAAATTTCATATTTGTATAGGCATTATCGGTTGATGATACCAGTGAACCGGGTACTTTATCTGAAAATAAATTGATACCGATAAAATTATCGGTACGTGCATCATAAAATTCGCCCAATTCAGCCACCCGTCCCAGTGCAGCAGTTTTCAATGGACTAACACTTATTAATGGTTTACTTGACTAAAATTTTGTAAAAATATATATATTAAAATATATTATATAAAATGTAAAATTAAATTGTAAATATAAAGTATACCTGTTGTGTTAATTGATTAAATAATGTTAGATTACCTTGATTTAGCGATGTAGACAATAGTTAATATATAATATAAATATTATACTATTATATTTTAACATTTTTAATTTAATAGTTTAGTTTAATAATGTAAATTAATTTTATCTGTATTTTATAATAATAAATTTAGTTTGTTATATTTAAATATATATATTTATAATAAAATTATAAATAATGTTATAATTTTGTTTTATTGACTTGTTTTAAGTATTATAAAGTAGCAAAATAAAAGTAGTTAAATGTTTTATCTTTATAGTTTAGTTTAATATATTAATAAATTTTTATAAATGATAATTATTATTTAGTGTAATTATTAGTACAAAAATTATTATAATAAAATAATATAATGATATAATAATAAAAGAATAAAATAATAAAAAAATAAAATAATAAAAAAATAAAATTGTAAGCAATAATAATGTTAAGTAACAAGTATCATATAAAATATAATAATAAAACAATAAAAAACTCAATTAAAATTTTTTTTAAATTATAAAAGCTGTATATATATAGATTTAATTTTAGTATTAAAATAATCAATGTATAATTATAAATAATAATAAATATTACATAAGTATAAACATTTAATAACTTTTTATTACTATTAATCTTTTATTTGATATAATTGTAAATATTTTTTATTTCTATAAAATGCGCAATTAAGCTTTCACAATTTTTTAATTATTTATTTTTATTTATTTATTCAACATTAAATGATAATTAAATAAAAATGAATCATTTAATTGTTATAATGTATTTTATAGTAATTTATCTTAAAATTTGTTTGTCATCTGAAAGTATTCAACAAAATAAAACATTTGTATGTTTGTTATAAATAGTTATTTTTTTTATTAATTTAATAATTTATTTATTTTTTCTCAACAGATTCGTAGTATAAATAAATTTATTTATTTATGTGGCGGTTATAATAGCGGCTATTTAGCAAAATGTATAAAATATGATGAAAATAAAGGCAATTGGCAACCAATTAAAGATATGATTTTTCAACGTAGGAATTTTAACCTGGTAACTTATGATAATAAATTATATGCTATTGGAGGTGATAATGTAAGTAAAAATTTTATTAAGTTAATATCATTATAAATAACTTTTATTTGTCAATTAAAGTCAACTGTACTAAGCTCTGTTGAAACCTATGATCCAAATTCAAATACCTGGCACTTGTCTAAACCGTTAAATATTAAAAGATAGTAAATATAATAATTTTTAATATTGAATTATAATTTTCATATATTTAATAATTAGTTTATATATTAACTTCTATATAGTGGTTTGGGTTCAACTGTTATTGATAATAAAATTTATGTATGTGGTGGTTATAATAATGGAAGAGGTATAATTAATTTAATTAAAGATTTTTAAAAAATATTTAAAACTCAAATTTTTGTAAATATATAAAATTCTATTTAGTTAAATCATGTGAAATGTATTCATCGAAAACAAATTCTTGGCAATTCATTGAACCAATGAAAACAGCAAGATATAATTTTCAATTAATAGCTAATAATGGTTTTATTTACGCTATTGGAGGAACTGGATCAGATAATTCAGTAGAACGATATTGTTTAAAAACTAATCAATGGACAATTATTCAGAATACAAATTATCCAAGGTAAATTAAAATATTAAATAATACTAAATTAATTAAATTTAAATTTAATATATTTTAAAATTTAACAGAAATTTTTTTGGAGCAACATTATTCTTAAACAATCTTTATATATGTGGCGGTTCTGGAAGTGAAAAAATCTGTGAGAAATATGATTCAGATAAAAATACATGGAAAACAATTGGTAAATTTAAATTCTTAAAAAAATAACTCAAATAATTATTTTAAATTTTATAATTTAAATTTCAAGCATCACTTAATAATCCAAGAAATTATTTCCAATTAATTGCATTCAGCAATAAAATATTTGCATTAGGATCTAGAGATTCAAGTAAAATAAACTATAATATTAAAAAAATTCAATAATTTTTATAATTGATTTATTTTAAACTATAGCTTCTGGAAATTCTGTTGAGATCTATGACCATAAATCTGATGAATGGTTTCAATCGGATTCTTTGCCATATAATGTTTATGGACATGCGGTATAATTTCTATTATAATAATAAAAGATAATTTTTTTTGAATAAATTATTGATTACTACAAAATAATTAATTTTAATTTTATTTATTAACTAATTTATACACAAATAATAGGTTTCCGTTTTGTAAAATACTTATGATATTACACCCGATGTACGGTCTATTTGTACGGATCGGTTGTATCATTTGATTGACTTGTTTTATAATAAATATATCGTTTCTGTGTCAATAACATTTTGTTTCTAATAACTGTATTTTAACTTTTAAAATTTAAATAAAAAAAATATTATTAAATAAAACTAAATTTAAATAAAATTAAACATACTTATCAAATGTTAGATCAAATTATTAGGTATAATATCGAAACAATTAAATTAAATAAATTCCATAGAAATATAAAATTATTAATTATATTATAACAATGATTAATACTTAAAAAATGAAATAGTTTAAATATAAATCTAAAATTAACATATTTATAAATAAAATTTATGAATAAAAGTCTAAACTTAAATTAAACTTTAAATTGACGACTTTAAATAAGTTTAATTATAAATAATAAACTAGGTAAAATAGAAAATTATTGTTTTAATTTTAATAAGTAATTTTTATTTACGCCACAAATAGCATTGAGTTTAAATTAATAAAATAATTATACAATAATAAAATAATCATTAAATTTATTATTAGAATTAATAGTTAATAAATAAATACAATGTTTGTTAACAAAAATAATTTATTTATAAATAATATTATAAAACTGCAACCTAATTATGTATAAATGTATTTAAAAAAATGATTTAAAAATAAAATAGAAATAATTAAAAATTTTTAAATAAATAAATAATTAAAAAAACAATATACCGCATGATCATAAACAGCATATGGTAGTGAATCAGATAGAAACCATTGATCAGATTTATGATCATAAATCTCAACCGAACTACTATAAGCTATTATTTAAATATAAATTACTTATTAAAAAATTAATCTTGTTTAAAAATTAAATTTAAAAAATAAAATTTACTTGATTGATGTGAACCCAATGCAAATATTTTATCATTGAAAGTAATTATTTGAAAATAATATCTTGGATTGATAAATGATGCTTAGAGAAAAAAATTAATTATTATTTTTATTATTTAATCAAATATTAATTAAATTATATTTTTTAAATAATACAAATTGTTATCCATATATTTTTATCTGTATCATATTTTTCGCAACTTTTTTCACTATTTGATCCGCCACATATATATATACATTATTTAAAAATACAGTTGCACCAAATGAATCTCTTTTTTATATAAGTAAAAATTGATTTATTTTAAAACATAATAAAATAAATAATTTAATTTTACCTTGGATAATTTGTATTCGGTATAAAAGACCATTGCTTAGTTTTTATACTATATCTTTCAACTGAATAAAATGCTCCAGTGCCTCCAATAGCATAAATAAAACCATTTTTTGCTATTAGTTGATAATTGTATCTAGCTGACATCATTGGTCTAGTAAATTGCCATGAATTTGTTTTCGATGAAAATATTTCGCAAGATTTAATAACTATTAAATAAAAAATTTATATTTATGTATGATTTTAGTTTTTTTACGTTTTATAAATAATTAATTTAAAATTAGAAAATTATACCTTTTCCATTATTTACACCACCGCATACATAAATTTTATTATCAATAACAGTTGAACCCATAGAACTATTGATTATAAATTAATTTGATAATTATTAATTATTAATTAATTTATTTGAAAAATTATTAAAATATAAAAATATTTATTTTTACTATCTTTTAATATTTAACGGTTTTGATGGTAGCCATTTATCTGAATCAAGATTGTTTGATTTAAATGTTTCAACAGAGCATAATTCACCAGTTGACTTTTTAAAAATTAAAAAAAATAAAATTTACTATAAAAAATTATTTAAAAAAATTAATAAATAATTTTTTTACTTACATTGTAACCTCCAATAGCATAAAGTTTTTCATCATATGTAACCAAGCTTAAATATTTACGTTGATAAGTTGTTTGATTGCCAATTGCTTAGATTTTCATCAAATTTTATACATTTTGATGTATATTTACCATCAATTAGTCCACCGCATAAATAAATATATTTATTTGTATTAGTTTTCTATATAAAAATAATAAAATAATATATTTTTCAGTGTTTTTTAATTTTAATTAAAATTTTATATATTTTTTAAAAATATTTATTTTTCTAATTTTTTATGGGTAGATATTTATATATATATATTTTATTTTATTTAATTGTTATATTTTATTTGCAAAATTTTTAATTAGGAGTTACTCATGAGAAAGTGTCGAATGATTTGAAAAGTATTAGTAAACCAACTAAGTAATTTATTTTTAAATAAATTATTCAATTAAAAAATTATTTGTACTGTAAATGTATACATTTTTTTAATTATTTAAAAATTATATTTATTTAAATAACTTAAATTACTAAAAATTACTAGTCAAAATAATATTAATAATGATTAATGACATTTTTATTTAATAATTATTACAACTAAACTTTATAAAATAATAAATAAAATATTGGACGCCATTTTAAATTAATAAACTTTATTGAAAATAACAAATATAAAAAAATTTTCAAAATGAAGTTAATTATTAGTACTAGTAAATTTGTAAAAATACTAATAACTATTTTAATTTTACTAGATACATTTATTCAATTTAATATACAAGTTGAGTCAATGTGGAATTAAAAAATATCAAAAACATTATGAAAGTTATGTTCAACAACAAAGGTAGATTGGTAATTTTTTAATAGGATTATTTAATACCCAACATGACTAGAGTTGAGTTTATATTGTATTGTTCAGGCATTTTATAGCGCCATTTATAAATAAAAATTTTTATTAATATGTATTAAGGTTATTTATATTATTTTTAATAATATCGAAAATATATAAATAATCTTTAAAAATTATATTTATTATATAGTATAACTAATATAAACTTTATAAAATATTATAATTTTTTATGTATTTCATTAAAATAAAATTTTATTTCTATATAGATAAAATATCTTTAATAGATATTAGATAAGTTAATTAAAATATTTATTACATTATAATAATTTTTACATTTTAATAATACCAATAATTTAATAATTTATAATTTTATTACACTTTTTGTTAAAAAATTAATTTTATTTATAATATTGTTGTTCAACTTAAACATGTAAAATAGTAATAAATCATGATTAGCATGAATTTTAATAATGTTTAAATTAATATATAACTTAATAATCTAAATTTAACTAGATAACTGAAAAAATAAAATACAATAAAAAATTAGTAATTATTTATTTGCACCAATAAATTATAATAAATTATTATATTATAAATTATTAAAACTAGAAATAAAACTCCTAAAATTAATAAATATTTTTTTCTATAAAAACTACAAAAAAATAGTTTAGAATAAATAGTTTTACTAGATTTTAATTATTTTAAGTACAGTAATCAAAATATTTTATTAATAAAAACAATGAATTGTTTAATAATTATTAAGTGTCTAATAGTTATTTATTTAACTATTTGTTTATCTACTAAAAGTATTGAAACCAATAAAACAAATGTATGATTTTTGTAAATAAATTTATAAAATTTTTATATACAGTATTTTTATTAATTAAATTATTATTAAAATTTTATCGATAGCTTACCAATGAAAATGATAGTATATATTTATGTGGCGGTTATAGTATAAATGATTATTCAGCAAAATGTATAAAATATGATGAAAATAGAGGCGATTGGCAACCAATTAAAAGTTTGTTTTATAAGCGTGCATATTTTAGTTTGTTAACCTATCATAGTAAACTCTATGCAATTGGCGGATGGAATGTAAGTTTTATAAATATAATTATTTTTAATTAATTATTTAAATATTTATTTAATTTTTAAAAATTAGTCATCTGGTGAATTAAAATCTGTTGAAATCTACGATCCTTTAGTAAATAATTGGCAACAAACAAAGTCATTGAATATTAAGAGAGAGTAATTTTATTATTAACATAAAATTATAATTTATAATTATATTAATGTAAATATTTAATTTCAAACTAGTGCAATGGGTGCAGCAGTTATTGATGATAAAATTTATGTATGCGGTGGTTTAAATAATGATAAAGGTAATTTATAATAATTTAATAATAATTTAATAATAATTTAATAATAATTAAATAATAATTTAATAATAATTAAATAATAATTTAATAATAATTTATATAATAATTAATAAATTAAATATTTTTATTAAGTTAAATTAATTTTAAATTTATTTATTAATAAAATTAAAATTATACTCTAAATATCTACAAAAGCTACAAGCTCATGTGAAATATTTTCATTAACAACAAATTCATGGCATTTTTCTGAACCAATGATTGTTGCTAGGGCAAAATTTCAGTTAATAGCAAATAATGATTTTTTATACGCTATTGGAGGAACTGTATCAACAAATTCAGTTGAAAGATATAGTCTAAAAACAAACAAATGGTCATTAATTCAGAATACAAATTATCCAAGGTAAATTAACTTTTTAAATTTATTGGCTTTTTATATTTTATAATTAATATTTATTTTTTGTCTATTAAAATTTTTAATTTTTATAAAAGAAATTTATTTGGTGCAACATTATTTTTAAACAATATATTTATCTGTGGCGGTGATACTCACCATAATAATTGTGAAAAATATGATTCATTTAAAAATTTATGGAAAACTATTTGTAAATATGAATTTTTATTTAAATCAATTTTTTTAAAAACTAATTAATTTTCAACAATAAACTAAAAAAAATAATTTAGCATCTTTAAATAATCCAAGATACCATTTTCAATTAATTACATTTAACGGTAAAATATTTGCATTAGGATCATATGAAAAATGTAAAATTATTATTATATATAACATATATAAATAAAAATTTTAAAAATATAATTATATTGTTTATAACAAATAGCTTACGGAAGTTCAGTCGAGATATATGACGATAAATCTGATCAATGGTTTCAATCGGATTCACTTCCATATAATGTTTATGCACATGCGGTATAGTGTTTTTTACTATATATAATTTAAAAAAAAATAGTTAAAAGTTTATTATTAAATATATATATTTTGTTTAATTAACACATTTTATTCTTTATTGTTTAACATATAGGTTGCTGTTTTATAAATGATTGAAATGAATTGATGAAATGACATTATATAATTATTTTTTTTTGTTTTTTTTTTAAATTTTGTAAAATAGATATTTATTTACTTTATATATATCTTACTATTAAAAAGTTAAAAACATTTTTTTCTATTCCCTATAAAATTATACTTAAAATGCAGTTGAATATAATATAATTAATATTAGTTGTACTGCAATGAAAAATAATATTATTATTTTAATTATAGTTAATTATTATTAATTATTTGAAATTGTTGTCTAATATAAGTCATTAAAACTAGTATTTAGTTAAACATCATTTACTTATCGATAACATTACATTCGTTGTGTGTCTATTTGTATCCATCAAAATTATAATTTAAAATAAATACCATTTTATTATGTTAGAAAATTTTAATTATATAATAGTTATAAACAAATTTATAAATTAAATGATTAATTTTTACGATTTTCATTTCAATAAGTTTTTTGGTTTATGTATATAAAATATAAATTTTGAACTAATATATATAAAAAAATATTAATTATTACATTACATTTTAATATTTTTTTAAGTTGTAATTTGTTTATAGATTAATTTATACATTTATTTTTATTATTTAATGTATTTAACAAATTGTTTTTACAAATTTATTGAAATTATAATGATTTTTAATGAAGAAAATAGTAAAGTTTATACTTTGTAATTTTACAGGCAATTAATTAGGTGTGGTGACAACCATGTTATATTAAAGATTATTATTAATAATTATATTAAACAAATATATATATATATATCATATATAAAAAACATTAATATAAACTTTTTAAAATAATTTTAAATAACATAAAAGAATATTAAAAATTCTGTAATATTTTTTTTAATAACAATTAAAACTATACTTATTTCACCTTTATATTTATTATTATAATATAAAAAAATATTTTATTAATATATGATAATTTTATTTTAATATTTTAATTATCTTTTAAAACAATAAATTATTAAACAATAACATAATAATAATATATAAAATTATAAAAAAATTAAATGATAAAATTTTAATGTATTTAATAGCAATATAAGTTTATTACAGTTTATCAATTAAATATAAACTTTGAACAAATATATTATAAAATATTAATCAATTAAATAATTAAAATATTTATTAAATGTTTTTTAGACATTATATTAATATAAAATTAAAATAATATATTTGTGTAAATTTTATTACAGAATATGTTATTACATAAAATTTGTCCATAAATGATACTGAACCAAATGATGATATAGGTCTACTCACAGAAAATTAAATAAAAATTAATCATTAATTTGTGTGAATGTAAATTAAAACAAATAATTAAACAAGCTTAACATATATGATGACATTGAAAATGACAGGTTGAATTTGTTTTTTTTTTAATAAAACATTTTAATTTTTTATGTAAACTTTAACAATTAATTATACAATAATAAAAAATCATTTAATTTATTATTAGAATTAAATAATTTTATATTGTTTATTTATTCAAAAAACTGTATATTTGATATACAAATTAATACATTATATTTTAGTGAATAAATAAATAAAATGTTTGTAAAACAATAATATATTATAAAAAATATTATAAAAAATATTATAAAACTGCAACCTATTTATCATGTAGAAATGTTGAATAAAAATGATTAAAATTGTAATAATTAATAATTTTAAAAAAAATAATTAAAAAATCAATATACCGCATGATCATAGACAGCAGAAGGTAGTGAATCAGATAGAAACCATTGATCAGATTTATAATCATAAATCTCAACCGAACTACTGTAAGCTATTTGTTTAAATATAAATAATAATAATATAAAAATTAGTATTGTTTAAAAATAAAATTTAAAAATTAATAAAATAATAAAATAAAATAAGTTTACTTGATTGATGTGATCCCAATGCAAATATTTTATCATTGAAAGTAATTATTTGAAAATAATATCTTGGATTGATAAATGATGCTTACAGGAAAAAAAACACAAAAAAGTAATTATTATTTTTATTAATTAATCAAGTATTATTTAAATTATATTTTTTAAATAATACAAATAGTTATCCATGTATTTCTATCTGTATCATATTTTTCGCAAATTTTTTCACTTGATGAACCGCCACAGATATATATATTATTTAAAAATACAGTTGCACCAAATGAATCTCTTTTTTTAAGTAAGGAAAATTAATTATAAATTTATATAACAAAAACGGCAATGTATTTTAATTAAAATAAATAAATAATTAACTTACCTTGGATAATTTGTATTCGGTATAAATGACCATTGCTTAGTTTTTATACTATATCGTTCAACTGAATAAAGTGTTCCAGATCCTCCAATAGCATAAATAAAACCATTGTTTGCTATTAGTTGAAAATTTGATCTAGCTAACATCATTGGTCTAGTAAATTGCCATGAATTTGTTTTCGATGAAAATATTTCGCATGATTTAATAACTATTTGATAAATAATTTTTAACTATTTAAAGCTTTATAAATTTTTACATTTATATTTTTAAAAATAATTAATTAAAAATTGTAAATTATAATACCTTTTCCATTATTTACACCACCACATACATAAATTTTATTATCAATAACAGTTGAACCCATAGAACTATTAATAATTAATTAATTAGATAATTTATTATTTATTAATTAATTTTTAAAAAAATTATTAAAATATAAAAATATTTATTTTTACTATCTTTTAATATTTAACGGTTTTGATGGTTGCCACTTATCTGAATCAAGATTGTTTGATTTAAATGTTTCAACCGAGCTTAATTCACCAGTTGACTTTTTTTTACAAAATTAACAAGTTAAATTACTATTTACTATTAAAAGTTATTTACAAAAATAAATTTTTTACTTACATTATAACCTCCAATAGCATAAAGTTTTTCATCATAACTAACCAAGCTTAAATATTTACGTTGATAACGCATAGGATTAATTGTTTTCCAATTTCCTGGATTTTCATCAAATTTTATACATTTATCTGTATATTTACCATCAATTAGTCCACCGCACAAATAAATATATTTATTTGTATTAGTTTTCTAATTAAAGTAAAAAAAATAATTTATTTTGTTTTTTAATTTTAATTAAAATTTTATATATATATATAAATTATTTAATATTAAATCATTCAAATGTTTTTTTTTACATTTTGTTGTTCAATACATTCAGTGAACACAAAAATTGTTAAATAAATAAATAATTTGATAAGTTTTAGATTATTCATTATATTTAATTTATAATATGTTATAATTTTTATTTTTAATTAATTTTTTTTAAAAATTATACATATTTATTTTTAAAAAATTAGCTGCTTTTATGGAAAAGTTAATAATCTAAAATTATTTATAATTTTATTATATAATATGATAAGTATTTTTTTATAATTATATTTCATTAATATTAATAAAACTAATATTAAATAATTATTTTTAATGTAATAAATTTTAATTATAAAAACTTAATATTTTAATAATTAATTATATGATAACTTAATTTGGTATAAAATATTATTAAAAATTTTACAACTATTTTAAATCAGTTTTTAATGAATTATTATTTATTATAATATTGAGAAATATTTTTAATTGATTATACTTGCTTAATTTATATTATAATTTTATTACCTTGTTTTTAATATTAATATTTTAACACAGATACAACAATATAAATAATAAATATTATCATTTATTATCTAAAGTATTATTAAAAATTTATTACTGTTGATTATTATTTTGGAAAAACAAAACTATAAAGATAGAAATTATTAATTAATTTGTACTAGTGTATTAGTAATAAAAAAATATAATTATTTCATAATTTGTAATTTTATTACATATATATTTAAGTATAACAAATTAAATTTATCATTTATTATAATTAATAATAGTAATTAATTTATATTTAATAAAACAAAAAACAATTAACAAGAAAAATGTTAAAATATTCAAGTATTCTATTTATATTATATTTTACCAACTATTGTACATCATTAAATTTAAGTAATTTAACATTTTTTAATCAATTAATACAAAAGGTATACTGTAGAAAATACAATTATTTTTTAAATAAATTTTAACATATATTTTAATATATATTTTAACATATATTTTAACATATATTTTAACATATATTTTAACATATATTTTAACATATATTTATTTTTTTACAAAAATTTTAGTCAAGTTACTCATTAATAAATGTTGATCCATATCCAACTGCATCACTGGGACGGGTGGCTGAATTGGGCGAATTTTATGATGCACGTACCGATAACTTTATCAAGATAAATTTATTTTCCGATAAAGTACCCAGCTCACTAATATCATCAACCGATAATGCTTGTACCGATATGAAATTTTCAATGGCCAATTCATTGCAAGATAAATTCAATGAACTAGATGTCGACGCTAGACTACAATTATCATTTAGGGCCGGTCTAGTCGATGTTGAACTAGGTGGTTCAGCTAACTATCTGCAACATAATAAACATAGTGCACGTAGCGCACGGGTAACCCTAATTGAATCCATTAATACCCGATTCGAGTCACTTAGTCTAACTGATCGGGGCTTTAAAAATCTAATCAATTTTGATGCCTTATCCCGTTTTGACGTGACTCACATACTGGTCGGTATTCAATGGGGCGGTAAACTAGTGTTGGATGTCGAAGATAGTAACCAGTTTAAGGATGATATTAAAAATGTACAAGGTAGTATGAATGTTAATATAAAAGCCCTGTTACTGCAAATATCCGGGGATGCATCGGTAAACTATACGGACACTAGTCTATCGAATATAACCGGCTATTCGTTTAGATTGTTTGGCGATATTCTACCCGATATTGTACCGCAAAACATTGTGGACGCCCTTATATTTATGAAATCGGCACCTGGTCAATTAAAATCGGGTAACTTTGGTCGGGGTAAACAAATATCCTATATATTGACACCGGTAAATGTTTTACGCAAACTACTTGACCTAGAGATACAAGAGTCGGCATTAATCCATGATATTGGCGAACATATAGTCAAACGATGTGTCAAATTGTTTGACGATATGATGCAAATTGAACAACAATTGAACGATTTGTATACAGATTTAACTAAACAGGAACCGTATGTCAGAGATCATGTAATTATAGAATTGACTGATTTATTAGGTAATTATTCTGTATATAAATCGTTGACAACCCGAGCGTTGAGTGCATTGTTAGTACAAATACGTGCCGGAAATGAAACGGTAGAAAAATTAGAGGAAATCATATTTAAATCGGTTAACGATAGCTATAGTGTTGAGTCAATGAAATTGAAGGTTGGTAAATTTGAACAATTATTAAATCACCTGGTACTAGTCGATTATGTAGCTAATATCAATACTGAAAACGATAAACAATGTATATTAAATAAGCATAGTAATCTAGAAAAATTAATGTTAGAATTCGAAGGTAATAGCTTGTACATTTTATATTATTCATATGATCATGGTAATAATAATAGTCAACAACAAAATAATATAGATGCTATATCAGCCTATAAACAGCTAATAAAAGATAATAAACCTGGTAGAGTTTATTGTTCAATTAACTATGAAATAATTGATCAAGCTAAACAATCGATATTAAAATTGGATGATCATGGTGATTATTTGGAAGCAAAAATTGCCCTGTACAAACAAGGCCGACTAATACAATCAAATGTATTGCCATTGGAAACTAGCAGGGCTTCAATTTATATATGTGGCGGTTATGATGGACAAAATTATCAAGATAAATGCTATCAATTTGATTTACATAAATCAACATGGTCAAATTTGATTGAAATCAAAAATATGTCTATAAAACGTCATCATTTAAAACTAATTGATTTCAATAATATTATGTATGCTATTGGTGGGCGTGATGTATGTATTTTTATTTTATGTTTTTAAAAAAATCAATCTTGCTTATTTATAAAAAAATATATAATATTTATCTTTAGGATATTAGTACCAATTTTGTTGAAACATACGATACCCGAGATAATCTTTGGACACAAATTTCATCGTTAAATATTAGACGAGAGTATTTACAAAATAATTTATAATAATTTCAAATATAATAATAATTTTATTTTATTAATATTATTTTAATTAGTGGTTTAGGAGCTACTGTACTAAATGATACACTATATGTTTGCGGTGGCTATATATCAGATGAACAAACAGGTTATTGATGAAAAATATTATAATTAATAATTTTAATAATATTTAATTTTTGAAAATTTCTTTTATTTAAGGAACAAATTCATGCGAATATTTTCAACAGGAATCAAATGAGTGGAAATTTTTGCCATCAATGTCCCGAAAACATCATTATCACCAATTGATTGCACACTCGGGCTATTTGTATTCAATTGGGGGTAATGTTAATAATGATGATAATAGGCCGTCAAATTTTGTCGAAAAATATGATCTAGCTAATAAATCGTGGACACCTGTAGCTAGTATGATCAATGAAAGGTAAGTGTTATAATTTTATTTTAATTTAATAGGTTTATGTAATTTTTTTCAAAATCACCTAGATCATCGTTTGGTTCAGTATCATTTATGGACAAACTGTATGTATGCGGCGGTAAAGGCTATACAGAGTCGGCGGCACTAAATAGCTGTGAAATGTATGATTCAATTACAGATAAATGGATACAAATTGGTAATTATTGAATGAAAATAATATTTTAAAATTTTTTATATTTTATTCTATTACTTAGATTAATATCAAATATTATTAATTAACTATAATTAATAAATAAATTAATTAATTCAAAAAATTAACCTAGCTCCAATGCAAGAAAAACGTGTTTATATGGAACTATTGAAATACAATGATAAACTATATGCTATTGGAGGAGAAAGTACATTGATTATTTTTTTTAATTTTTAATTTTAATAATTAATAAATTTATTATTAATTTTATTTTTAATTAATGAAAGATTTGAACACATTTGAAGTCTATGATTACAAATCCAATAGTTGGAGTCATACAACACTATTGCCGACAAAAATGTGGGATTTTGGGGTAATTTTTTTAATTGTATCAAAAAATTGTAATTTTAATTAAATATTTTTTTTGTATTTATTTTCATTTAAATATAGGCTGCTGTTATCAAAGAAGTGTAGTACTAATTAATTAAAAAAATTTTGATTTTTATTAAAATTATTTTAATATTATAAAAAAATTATTTTAATTAATTAATTTACAGAATTAATAAAATTAAAACAATAAAACTTTTACAATTAATATATATAAAATATATAATAATAAAATGTAAACACAAATTATTTAAACAGTTTTAATTAAAATAGTTTTTATATTACAGTATATAACTTTTGTATAAATTTATATAATTGTATAAATATATTATCAATATATTGTAGTATAAATTATGAAATAATAAAAAAATTATAGTGATTTTTCATTTATAAATGTAATTAAATGTTATTATTTTTTTATATAGCAGTTATTTTTATCTTATAGTTTTATTTATTTTATCAGTAATAAAATTACACAGCAATAGTATTTTTTATATTTGAAAAATATCATAAATATTTTTATTTTCTATCTATTTTATAGATGCCTTAATAAAACTTATATTGCAATGAAATACTAGAATATTTAATCATTTAATAATTTTAGATAATATTTTTATTATGGTGTTTATAAAAAAAGTTTACTTTTTTTAGTGTTTTATAAGTAAATTAAAGCATTGAAATTAATATTATAATAAAATAATAAAATGGTTTTATTTAATACCTATAATAAATAAAATAATTTTAATTATTGTTAATTAATTAATTTATGTTTTCTACTACTGTATTAGTAATCAAAAAAATAAACTAAACTTATTACATAATTTTTTATTTTATTACATATATGTATTTAAGTATAACAAATTATTTTTAATATTTTATTAATTTATTAAAAAAACTATTATAGAAAAAAAATGTATTGTTTTTTTTAAATCTTAGTGATTAGTTTATTAAACAAACAAAAAATCACAATTATATGAAAAATGTTAAAATATTTAAGTATCAATATTATTTTAATAATATATTGTATTAACTATTGTACAACATTAAATTTAAGTAATTTAACAATATTTAATCAATTAATAAAAAAGGTATTCAACTGTATATATATAAAAAATAATAATTATTTATTTTTTTATATAAATTTTTTTAACATATATTTATTATTTATTTACCCACAAAAATTTCTAGTCAAGTAAACCATTAATAAGTGTTAGTCCATTGAAAACTGCTGCACTGGGACGGGTGGCTGAATTGGGCGAATTTTATGATGCACGTACCGATAATTTTATTGGGATCAATTTATTTTCAAATAAAGTACCCAGCTCACTGGTATCATCAACCGATAATGCCTATACCAGTATGAAATTTTCAATGGCCAATACATTGCTGGATAAATTCAATGAACTAGATATCGATGACGGTCTACAATTATCATATATAAGCAAATCAATCGAAATTCAACTAGATGGTTCTGGTAAATATCTGCAACATAGTAAACATAATGCACGTAGCGCCAGGGTAGCCCTAATTGAATCGATAAATACCCGTTTCGAGTCCCTGAGCTTAACTGATCAGGGATTGAAAACACTGATCAATTTCGATGCCTTATCCCGTTTTGATGTGACTCACATATTGGTCGGTATTCAATGGGGCGGTAAACTAGTGTTGCAAGTTGAAGATAGTAACCAATCCAATGATGATCAACTAATTGTACAGGGTAGTTTATATGCCAATATAACAAATACAATGTTAAATATATCGGGTAATATATCATCGATAAGTATATCGGGTAATACATCGATAAACTATACGGACACTAGTCTATCGAATATAACCCGCTATTCGTTTGAATTGTTTGGCGATATTCTACCCGATATTGTTCCGCAAAACATTGTGGACGCCCTAATATTTATGAAATCGGCACCTGGTCAATTAAAATCGGGTAACTTGGGTCGGGGTAAACAAATCGGTTATGTATTGACACCGGTAAATGTTTTACGCAAACTACTTGACCTAGAGATACAAGAGTCGGCACTAATCCATGATATCGGCGAACATATAGTTCAACGATGTGTCCAATTGTTTGACGATATGTCGCAAATTGAACAACAATTGAACGATTTGTATACAGATATCACTAAAAAGGAACCGTATGTTAGAGATTCGGTAGTCATAGAATTGACTGATTTATTGGGTAATTATTCTGTATATAAATCGTTGACTACCCGAGCGTTGAGTACTTTGATGGTTCAGATAAGGGCCGGAAATGAATCGGTAGATAAATTGGAGGAAATAATATTGAAATCTGTTAACGATAGCTATAGTGTTGAGTCAATGAAATTGAAGCTTGGTAAATTTGAACTACTTAAAAATCACCTGGTACTAGTTGATTATATAGCTAATATACCCAATGACAACAATAAGCAATGTATATTAAATAAGCATAGTAATCTAGAAAAATTAATCTTAGAACTCGAAAATAATACCATGTACATTTTATTTTATTCATATGACCATGATAATAGTTATAATAATAGTCGACAACAAAATAATATAGATGCTATATCAGCGTATAGACAGCTAATAGAAAACGATCCAGATCATACTGTTTTTTGTTCAATTAACTATGAAATAATTGATCAAGCTAAACAATCGATATTAATATTGGATAATGATGATTTTTGGGAACCAAAAATTAGCCTGTTCAAACAAGGCCGACAAATACAATCAAATGTTTTGCAATTGGAAACTAGCCTGGCTAGTATTTATATTTGTGGCGGCTATGATGGACAAAATTATCAAGCTAATTGTTATAAATTTGACTTACATAAATCAACATGGTCAACTTTGAATGAAAATGGCAAAATGTTAGTAAAACGTCATCATTTAAAACTAATTGATTTCAATAATATGATCTATGCTATTGGTGGACGTGATGTATGTATTTTACTTATTTTATTTTTTTTAAAAATCAATCTAGCTTATTTTTAAAAAAATATATAAATTATTATTTATAGGATATTAGTACCAATTTTGTTGAAACATATGATACCCAAACTAATCATTGGAAACAAATTTCATCGTTAAATATTAGACGAGAGTATTTAAAAATTAATTTTATAATAATTAAAACATTTTTTAAAATAAAAACTTAAAACATTATTTAATTAGTGGTTTAGGAGCTACTGTCCAAAATAATACACTATATGTTTGCGGTGGCTATATATCAGATGAAAAAACAGGCATTTTTTTTATATAAATTTTGTCGAAAAATATGATCTAGCTAATAAATCGTGGACACCAGTAGCTAGTATGATTAATGAAAGGTAACTGTGTAATAATTTTTGTTTTAACTTAATAATTTTTAAAAAAATATTTATATGTAGTTTATTAATTATTAAATATATTTTTTTCAAAACTAACCTAGATCATCGTTTGGTTCAGTATCATTTATGGACAAACTGTATATATGCGGCGGTAAAGGCTATACAGAGTCGGCGCCACTAAATAGTTGTGAAATGTATGATTCAATTACAGATAAATGGATACAAATAGGTAATTATTTTAGTGAATTAAAAAAAAAATATTTTTCAAAAATAATTATTTAATTAAAATCTAATAATAATGATAATAAATCACTTATAATTTTAATATTAAATATTATTAATTGACACTAATTAATTAATTCAAAAAAATTATCCTAGCTCCAATGCAAGAAAAACGTGTTTATATGGAACTATTGAAATACAATGATAAACTCTATGCTATTGGAGGAGAAAGTACATTGATTAAATTTTTTTAATTTTTAATTTTACTATATTTTATAAATAACAAAAAAAATACTAAATTATAATTTTTTTAATGAAAGATTTGAACACATTTGAAGTCTATGATTACAAATCCAATAGTTGGAGTCATACAACACTATTGCCGACAAAAATGTGGGATTTTGGGGTAATTTGTTATTATTTTTATCAAATAATTTTAAAATTAATTAAATAAATTGTTTTTTTTTGTATTTATTTGTTTTATCTAAATATAGGCTACAGTTATCAAAGAAGTGTAATACTAATTTTATTTTTATTAAAATTATTTTAATATCATTTAAAAAAAATTATGCTTTATTAATTTAATAAAATTAATTATATTATAATTATGATTATAATAATTACATATATAAATTTTATCTAATTTAATAAAATTAAAACAATAAAACTATTACAATTAATATATTTAAAAAAATATAATAATAAAATGTTAACACATATTAATTAAAAACAGATTTAATTAAAATAGTTTTTATATTATATAACTTTTGTATAAGTGTATATAATTGTATAAATATATTATCAATATATATTGTAATATAAATTGTGAAATAATAAAAAATTATCGTAATTTTTATTTTATAAATGTAATTAATTTTTATTATTTTTATCTTATATTTATATTAAACCAGTAATAAAATTACACAACAATAGTATTTTTAATTTTAAAAACATGTCATAAATATTTTTATTTCTATCTATTTTATAGATTTAGTTATAAAACTTATATTGCAATAAAATACATAATATTTTTATCATTTAATAATTTTAGATAATATTTTATTATGTTGTTATTTAAAAGTTTAATTTTTATTTTATTGTTTTATAAGTAAATTAAAGTATTGAAATTAATATTATAATAAAATAGTTTTACTTAATACTTATAATAAAGATAAAAAATTAAATAATTAGTCGTAATTATTGAAATTAAAAAACTAACAACTCAATTAATACTAATTTTTTAGTCTATAACTTATTATTTTATAATAAAATAATTTTAAAAGTTTATATTTAAAATGTTTATAATATATCTATTTAATTAATTAATTATACTTAATAATGAATTATAATATTGAAAAAACAAGCGTAATAAATAATTTTTAAAATAATTTTTTAAAAAAATAAATAGGATGTGACCCTGATCGAAAACAATATCATTGTCCCAATAGTATATGGTGTTGTCGATATAATACATACGGTAGCAAACATTATGCTGATAATTGTCCCGATGGACAACACATATGTATTGAACAATGTTGCGATAAACAAATGCATTACTATTGTCGTAGAAGTGGAATAAATGATGTTAATAATGGATACTATTGTAAATATGAAGGTAAGGAAATTAATAGTAATAGTAATAGTAATAGTAATAGTAATAGTAATAGTAATAGTAATAGTAATAGTAATAGTAATAGTAATAGTAATAGTAATAGTAATAGTAATAGTAATAGTAATAGTAATAGTAATAGTAATAGTAATAGTAATAGTAATAGTAATAGTAATAGTAATAGTAATAGTAATAGTAATAGTAATAGTAATAGTAATAGTAATAGTAATAGTAATAGTAATAGTAATAGTAATAGTAATAGTAATAGTAATAGTAATAGTAATAGTAATAGTAATAGTAATAGTAATAGTAATAGTAATAGTAATAGTAATAGTAATAGTAATAGTAATAGTAATAGTAATAGTAATAGTAATAGTAATAGTAATAGTAATAGTAATAGTAATAGTAATAGTAATAGTAATAGTAATAGTAATAGTAATAGTAATAGTAATAGTAATAGTAATAGTAATAGTAATAGTAATAGTAATAGTAATAGTAATAGTAATAGTAATAGTAATAGTAATAGTAAACAACTAGTATAGGACGCATATATATTGTGATCCATACAACCCAGACCCCCAGTTTCACCAACCCACCAAGTCGGTTACAGTATATATAGTTTATAAAAAATTTCTATAAAAACTAATGAAATTTATTTTATTATGATCTAAATATTAATTTTTATATTAATTTCTAATTATACTATTTAATACATAATAATTAAAATGAAATATTTAAAAGCTAACAAATTTACTATGTTAATTTATTGAACAATTTGTTTGTCCATGGACAATAATTCAAAATAATAATTATCCAAGGTAAAAAATATTTTTATAAATAATTAAAAAAAGCTTAATAATTTTAATTGTAAAATAATTATTAAAAGAAAAATATTAAATTTATGCATAATATTTATTTTATGAACATTTAAATAAAAAAAATGATAAAAAGTAATAAATACATAGTTATAATAGTTGTTTACTAAAAATAAATTACAATTTTATTCAATATAAAATTATCTACAACTTTGCCATCTGGTAATTTTTTAATTTAACTTAGTGATGAATAGATAATTGTAATTAATATCCGCCGTCGCTGATTAAGACAGTTTAATATTATAATTTTTATTACAACAAAATAAAAATCTTAATCCATGATGTCACTTAATTTGTTATTTGCTTTACAAGTTTTCACACAGCTATTAGCATTGCCATTCCTGCCGCAAACATACATTTTATCACTAAATAATTCTGAATTTATAGAGTATTTATTGATAAAAATTAAGTATAAAAAAAATAATAATTTTTAACATATAATTAATTAATTAAACAATAATAATAAATCATGTAGCTAAATTTATTGATTTATTTAAATAATTTTATATTAAATTTATTATTTAAAAAATTTAACAAAAATATAGTTTAATACATTTAAATTAATAATTTTGAATTGAATTAATAATTAAATAAAATGTTTGTAAACAATAATAATTGTATATATATAATATTATTATATTATTATAATATTATGTATTTAAAAAATATCTAATTATAAAACTGCAACCTATTTATTATTTGGAAAAAAGTATTTAAAAATAAACTTATTATTTAAATAAAAATAATAAAATACCGCATGATTGTTGGCATCATATGGTAGTGAATCGGTTAGAAACCATTGATCAGATTTATAATCATAAATCTCAACTGAACTACTGTAATCTTGTCTTTCTGATCCCAATGCAAATATTTTGTAATTGAAAGCAATTATTTGAAAAAAATACCTTGGATTGATAAATGATGCTTATAAAAACAAAATAATATTTTTTTATTATTTAATCAAATATTTTGAATAGTAGTTTTAAATAAATTTTTTATATTTAATTTTATTTACAAATAGTTATCCATGTATTTTTATCTGAATCATATTTTTCGCAAGTTTTTTCACTATTTAGACCACCACAGATATAAATTGTATTTAAAAATACAGTTGCACCAAATGAATCTCTTTTAAATAAGAAAAAATAAATAAAAAATTATAAAACAAAAACAATAAATATATATTGTAATGTACTTTAATTTAATAAATAAATTTTTACCTTGGATAGTTTGTATTCTGTATAAAATTCCATTGATTAGTTTTTAAGCTATATCTTTCAACTGAAGAATATAATCCAGATCCTCCGATAGCATAAATAAAACCATTGTTTGCTATTAGTTGAAAATTATATCTTGCTAAAATCATTGGTTTAATAAATTGCCATAAATTTGTTTTTGATGAAAACGTTTCACATGATTTAATAGCTATAGAAAATATTATATATAATGTAAAAAGGCGTTTAGTATATTAGTCCCCGACGAATTCCCTAAAAATTATTTAACCAATAATGATAAATTATTTATCTAAAAAGTATATTATAAAGTATCATATTCGTGATATTATGCATTATTTTTTTATAAATTTAAATAACGTGCTTTTATTTCACAGGATGTTTGCAAACCTCTAGGTCCAAACTAAAACCAAAACCAAAAGAATAAAATTCTAACTGCAGTATTTATAGAGCATAAATTATTAATTTATTTAAATAAAAATATTTTGAAATTGGTATTTTTTAAATTATTTTATGAATAATAATCACAGATAAAATTAGCATAAATTATTGATATTAAATATTTATTAAATGCAGTTTTAAAATCTATTTCGAATATTTGAAGATAATGTAATTTAATTGAAATTCGATTATCTAAAAAAATACTTGAGATATATTGTAAAATATTGTTTTTAATATTGATATTATTTTATATAAATTATTATTATATTATAATATATATTTATTAATATATCTGTGATAAAAAATTTATTTTTTGAACAATTTAATTCAATTTTTGCTTTAAATTTTAAGATCTATAAACATACAATTATTCTAAAGTATATGATTTTAATTTGGACCTAGTGGTTTGCAAACATTCCGAGATAAATGTGATCAATTGATCAAAATATAAAATAAAATAGTGTATTATATCACGCATATGTTATTTTATAATATACTTTTAACATAAATAATTTCTATTGGTTAAAAAATATTTAAGAAAAGCGCCGAGAATATTATATTGAATTTTGTTATATATGTTTGTTTTAGAATTAATTTTACTATACCTTTTCCATTATTATAGCCACCACATACATAAATTTTATTTTCAATAACAGTTGAACTCATAGCTCTATAAATAAATTTATTAAATATATTAAAAACTATTATAATATTTGATATTTATTTACAATCTTTTAATATTTAACGGTTTAGATAATGTCCAATTAGTTGATTTTGGATCATATGTTTCGACTGAGCTTAATTCATTGTTATACTGTTGTGACTGAGCTTTCTTTTTTTATTAACAAAAATAAATTACAATAAAATAATTATTTGCAAAATCTTTGCATTACTTACATTCAATCCTCCAATAGCATAAAGATTTTCATCATAAGTTACCAAACTGAAATATCCACGTTGATAATTCATATTTTTAATTGATTGCCAATTGCCTTGATTTTCATCATATTTTATACATTTTGCTGAATATTGATCAATACTAAAACCTCCGCACAAATAAATAAATTTATTTGTATTAGTTTTCTAATTAAAAAAATTAATTATAATATATACATTTATATATATATAATAGTATTCAACAAAAATCATTAAAAATGCTTACATTTTGTTGTTGAATACTTTCAGTGAACATAAAAATTATTAAATAATTTAATATAGAAAGTTTAGTTATAAGCGTTAAATAATTCCTCATATTTAATTAATATTTAATAATCATTAATAAAACAATAAGAAAAAATTACAATAAAATTATTAGTTTTTTTTAAAAAATACTCATCTTTTATAGAAACATTTTAATAAGATAGATATAATAACAAAATTATAAATATGACTCTTTTAATCTTATAATTTATTTGATATCTATTGATAACTATTATAAAATTTATAATTTATATTATATAGTAATTTACTAATTATTTTATTTTAACATTAAGATATGTTTAAATTGGTTTTTATAAATTAATTAATATTTTTAATTTTATTACTTTGTATTTTAATATTAACTTTTTAACACAGATATAAATTTATAAATAATTATTCATTATAATCACTAGCATTATAAAAATTTATTACAATTAACTTTATTTTGAAAAACAAAACTATAAAGATAAACCATTTTAATTATTGTTATCTAATTAATGTTTTCTATTACTATATATGCAATTTAAAATAAAATTATTACAAAATTATATTTATTACACAATTTTATTACATATATATATTTAAGTATAATCAAATAAATTTTTTATTTTTTTAAAATAATCGCAATCAATTAGTTTATCAAACAAAAAAACAATTAAATTAAAATGTTAAAATATTCTAGTATTATTTTTATATTATATTGTACTAACTATTGTACAGCATTAAATTTAAGTAATTTAACATTATTTAATCAATTAGTATAACATGTATACTGTATAAATAAAAGTTATAATATTTATTATTACAACTGTATATATATATAAACAAATAATTTTTATTTTATTAATTTTTTTATATAAATTTTAAATTATATTTATTTACAAAAAATTTTTAGTCAAGTAAACACTTAATAAGTGTTATTCCATTGAAAACTCCATCACTGGGACGAGTGGCTGATTTGGGCGAATTTTATTATGCACGTACCGATAATTTTATCGGGATCAATTTATTTACTAATAAGGTACCCGGCTCACTAGTATCATCAAACGATAATGCCTACACAAATATGAAATTTTCAATGGCCAGTACATTGCACGATAAATTCAATGAACTAGATGTCGATGCTAGCCTTCAGCTATCTTTTATGGCGGGTTCAGTAAAAATTGAACTAGGTGGTTCAGCTAAATACTTGCAACATAATAAACATAGTCGACGTAGTGCACGGATAGCCCTAATTGAATCGATAAATACACGTTTCGAGTCCCTGAGTCTAACTGATCAGAGCTTAAAAAATCTAATAAATTTCGATGCCTTATCCCGTTTTGACGTGACTCACATACTGGTCGGTATTGCTATTGATGGCCGTGATGTATGTATTTTTATTTTATGTTTTTAAAAAATCAATCTTGCTTATTTTTTAAAAATTATGATTATTTTTAGGATATTAGTACCAATTTTGTTGAAACATACGATACCCGAGATAATCTTTGGACACAAATTTCATCGTTAAATATTAGACGAGAGTATTTACAAAATAATTTATAATAATTTCAAATATGATAATAATTTTTTATAAATAATTAATATTAAAAAAAATTTATTTTAATTAGTGGTTTAGGAGCTACTGTACTAAATGATACACTATATGTTTGCGGTGGCTATATATCAGATGAACAAACAGGTAATTGATGAAAAATATTATAATTAATAATTTTAATAATTTAATAATATTTAATTTTTGAAAATTTCTTTTTTTTAAGGAACAAATTCATGCGAATATTTTAAACAGGAATCAAATGAGTGGAAATTTTTGCCATCAATGACCCGAAAACATCATTATCACCAATTGGTTGCACACTCGGGCTATTTGTATTCAATTGGGGGTAATGTTAATAATGATGATAATAGGGCATCAAATTTTGTTGAAAAATATGATCTAGCTAATAAATCGTGGACACCTGTAGCTAGTATGATCAATGAAAGGTGAAAGTATTTTTGTTATTTTATAATATGTTTTTTTTTTAATTAAATAATTTTTTTTTTCAAAACTTACCTAGATCATCATTTGGTTCAGTATCATTTATGGACAAACTGTATGTATGCGGCGGTCAGGACGCCAGCGACGACACAGGGAATGCGCTAAATAGCTGTGAAATTTATGATTCAATTAGCGATAAATGGATACAAATGGGTATAAAAATATTTATATATATATAATTATAAATCTATTTAGTATTATATAATTTTTTTATTAAAAGTATTATTATCTATATCACTTATAATTTAATATTAGTTATTAATTAACTTTAATTAATTAATTACTAAAAATTATCCTAGCTCCAATGCAAGAAACACGTGTTTATATGGAATTATTGAAATACAATGATAAACTATACGCTATTGGAGGAGAAAGTACATTGATAAATTTTTTAAAATTTTTAATTTTCTATATTTTATAACTAATAACTAAAAATTTACTAAATTATAAATTTATTATTAATTTTATTTTTAATTAATTAAAGATTTGAACACATTTGAAGTCTATGATTATAAATCTAATAGTTGGAGTCATACAACACTATTGCCGACAAAAATGTGGGATTTTGGGGTAATTTATTTAATTGTATCAAAAAATTGTAATTTTAATTAAATAATTTTTTTGTATTCATTTTCATTTAAATATAGGCTGCTGTTATCAAAGAAGTGTAATACTAATTATTAAAAAAATTTTTTATTTTTATTAAAATTATTTTAGTATTATAAAAAATTATTATTCTTAATTAATTTAATAAAATTAATTATATTATGATTATAATTAGGATTGTAATTATAATAATTATTATATATATAAATTTTATCTCATTTAATAAAATTAAAACAATAAAACTATATAATTAATATAATAATAAATATAATAATAAAATGTAAACATATATTAATAAAACAGTTTTAATTAAAATAGTTTTTATATTATATAACTTTTGTATAAGTTTATATAATTGTAATATAAATTATAAAATAATAATAAAAAATTCTTGTGATTTTTCTTTTATAATTGTAAATAATTTTTATTATTTTTATCTTATAGTTATATTAAATCAGTAATAAAATTACACAATAGTAATTTATTTTTAAAATATATCATAAATATTTTTATTTTCTATCTATTATTTTTATAGATGCAGTAATAAATCTTATATTGTAATGAAATACAATAATATTTAATAATTTAATAATTTTTAGATAATATTTTTATTATGTTATTATTTAAAAGTTTAGTTTTTATTTTATTGTTTTATAAGTAAATTAAAGCATTGAAATTAATATTATAATAAAATGGTTTTACTTAATACTTATAATAAAGATAAAAATTAAATAAGCAAAGTCATAATTATTGAAATTAATAAAATAGGGCTTTAACAATTAATCTATATAATACTATTAAATTAATCATGCAACATGTTTTACATTGGTAACTTTTTACTAAAGATAAAACTATATATATATATATTTATTAATTTTTATCAAAAGTGTTATAAAAAATTTATTGTATTTAAATAATTTTTTTTTTGGTAAAACAAAAATATAAAGATAAATCATTTTAATTATTGTTAATTAATTAATTTATGTTTTCTACTACTGTATTAGAAATTAAAAATAAAATAATCTTATTACATAATTTTTTATTTTATTACATATATATATATTTAATTATAACAAATTATTTTTAATATTTTATTAATTTATAGTAGTAGTTGATTAGTTTATTAAATAAAACTATTATAGTAAAAATGTATTGTTTTTTTAAAATCTTAGTAAGTGATTAGTTTATTAAACAAACAAAAAATCACAATTATATGTAAAATGTTAAAATATTTAAGTATCAATATTATTTTAATATTATATTTTACTAACTATTGTACATCATTAAATTTAAGTAATTTAACAATATTTAATCAATTAATAAAAAAGGTAAACAACTGTATATATATAAAAACAAATAATTTTTATTTTATTAATTTTTTTATATAAATTTTAAATTATATTTATTTACAAAAATTTTTAGTCAAGTAAACCATTAATAAGTGTTAGTCCATTGAAAACTGCTGCACTGGGACGGGTGGCTGAATTGGGCGAATTTTATGATGCACGTACCGATAATTTTATCGGTATCAATTTATTTACAAATAAAGTACCCAGCTCACTGGTATCATCAACCGATAATGCCTATACCAGTATGAAATTTTCAATGGCCAATTCGTTGCTGGATAAATTCAATGAACTAGATATCGATGCCGGTCTACAATTATCATATATAAGCAAATCAATCGAAATTCAACTAGATGGTTCTGGTAAATATCTGCAACATAGTAAACATAATGCACGTAGCGCCAGGGTAGCCCTAATTGAATCGATAAATACCCGTTTCGAGTCCCTGAGCCTAACTGATCAGGGATTGAAAACACTGATCAATTTGGATGCCTTATCCCGTTTTGACGTCACGCACATATTGGTCGGTATTCAATGGGGCGGTAAACTAGTGTTGCAAGTTGAAGATACCAACCAATCCAATGATGATCAACTAATTGTACAGGGTAGTTTATATGCCAATATTACAAATACAATGTTAAATATATCGGGTAATATATCATCGATAAGTATATCGGGTAATGCATCGATAAACTATACGGACACTAGTCTATCGAATATAACCCGCTATTCGTTTGAATTGTTTGGCGATATTCTGCCCGATATTGTTCCGCAAAACATTGTGGACGCCCTAATATTTATGAAATCTGCACCTGGTCAATTGAAATCGGGTAACTTGGGTCGGGGTAAACAAATCGGGTATGTATTGACGCCGGTAAATGTTTTACGAAAACTACTTGACCTAGAGATACAAGAGTCGGCACTAATCCATGATATTGGGGAACATATAGTTCAACGGTGTGTCCAATTGTTTGACGATATGTCGCAAATTGAACAACAATTGAACGATTTGTATACAGATATCTCTAAACGGGAACCGTATGTTAGAGATTCGGTAGTTATAGAATTGACTGATTTATTGGGTAATTATTCTGTATATAAATCGTTGACTACCCGAGCGTTGAGTACTTTGATGGTTCAGATAAGGGCCGGAAATGAATCGTTAGATAAATTGGAGGAAATCATATTGAAATCAGTTAACGATAGCTATAGTGTTGAATCGATGAAATTGAAGCTTGGTAAATTTGAACAACTTAAAAATCACCTGGTACTAGTTGATTATGTAGCTAATATACCCAATGTCAACAATAAGCAATGTATATTAAATAAGCATAGTAATCTAGAAAAATTACAACTGCCGACAAATACAATCAAATGTTTTGCAATTGGAAACTAGCCTGGCTAGTATTTATATTTGTGGCGGCTATGATGGACAAAATTATCAAGCTAATTGTTATAAATTTGACTTACATAAATCAACATGGTCAACTTTGAATGAAAATGGCAAAATGTTAGTAAAACGTCATCATTTAAAACTAATTGATTTTAATAATATGATCTATGCTATTGGTGGACGTGATGTATGTATTTTACTTATTTTATTTTTTTTAAAAATCAATCTAGCTTATTTTTTTAAAAAATATAAATTATTATTTATAGGATATTAGTACCAATTTTGTTGAAACATATGATACCCAAACTAATCATTGGAAACAAATTTCATCGTTAAATATTAGACGAGAGTATTTAAAAAATAATTTTATAATAATTAAAACATTTTTTAAAATAAAAACTTAAAACATTATTTAATTAGTGGTTTAGGAGCTACTGTCCAAAATAATACACTATATGTTTGCGGTGGCTATATATCAGATGAAAAAACAGGCATTTTTTTATATAAATTATTATATTTTAATATTTTTAACAAAAAAATTAATTTTTTTAAGGAACAAATTCATGCGAATATTTTCAACCGGAAACAAATGAGTGGAAATTTATGCAATCAATGTCCCGAAAACATCATTATCACCAATTGATTGCACACTCTGACGGCTATTTGTACTCAATTGGTGGTAATGTTAACAATGATGATAATAAGGCATCAAATTTTGTTGAAAAATATGATCTAGCTAATAAATCGTGGACACCTGCAGCTAGTATGATCAATGAAAGGTAACTGTGTTATAATCACGAATTCCTGAAAGGAATACGTATATGAATTCTAAAAGTCTGTCCGTCCGTCTGTCTGTCTGTCTGTCTGTTCCACGAGGACATAGGTTCGAATCCAGGCTCCGCTAAAAAAATTTTTTTTGATTTTTTTTTTGATTTTTTTTGGTTTTTTTTAAGTTAAGGAGATCGTATGGGAATGCTTTTGAAGCATTCTCAACTGTTTTTTTTTGATTATTTTAAAATTTTTTCCTTTTTTAAGTAAAGGAATTCGTGTGGAAATGCTTTTAAAGCATTCTCAACTGGTTTTTGTTTTATCTTGATAATTTTTTTTATTTAATATTTTTATGTAATTTATCACTTATTAAATACATTTTTTAATTCAAACTAACCTAGATCATCGTTTGGTTCAGTATCATTTATGGACAAACTGTATATATGCGGCGGTAAAGGCTATGCAGTGTCGACGGCACTAAATAGCTGTGAAATGTATGATTCAATTACAGATAAATGGATACAAATAGGTATATACAGTATATTTAATTATAAATTTATTTATATTTTATATATAAATAGTTATATTATTATCTATACTAATAAATTAATTATTATTAAATATATTAAATTAATTATGTGTTAAAATAATTTAACCTAGCTTCAATGCAAGAAAAACGTATTTATATGGAACTATTGAAATACAATGATAAACTATATGCTATTGGAGGAGAAAGTATGATTTTTTAGATAAAATTTAATTATTATTTTTTACAATTAATATTATCTAAAATTAATTTTTTTTTAAATTATTTAATTAAAAAGATTTAAACACATTTGAAGTCTATGATTATAAATCCAATAGTTGGAGTCATACAACACTATTGCCGACAAAAATGTGGGATTTTGGGGTAATTTGTTATTAATTTTATCAAATAATTGTAAAATTAATTAAATAATCTGTTTATTTTTTGTATTTATTTTTTATCTAAATATAGGCTACAGTTATCAAAGAAGTGTAATGCTAATTAATTAAAAAAATTTTGATTTTTATTAAAATTATTTTAATATTATTTTTAAAAAATTATTCTTAATTAATTTAATAAAATTAATTATATTATAATTATGATTATAATAATTACATATATAAATTTTATCAAATTTAATAAAATTAAAACAATAAAATTATTACAATTAATATTTTTTTAAAAATATAATAATAAAATGTTAACACATATTAATCAAAAACAGTTTTAATTAAAATAGTTTTTATATATTATATAATTATAAGATTATATAATTGTATAATTATATTATCTATATATTGTAATATAAATTTTAAAATAATAAAAAATTATCGCAATTTTTTTTATAAATTAATTTTTATTATTTTTATCTTATATTTATATTAAACCAGTAATAAAATTACACAACAATAGTATTTTCTAATTTTAAAACATGTCATAAATATATTTATTCCTATCTATTTTATAGTTATAGTAATAAAACTAATATTACAATGAAAAACATAATATTTTTATCATTTAATAATTTTAGATAATATTTTTATTATGTTGTTATTTAAAAGTTTTGTTTTTATTTTATTGTTTTATAAGCATTTAAATTAATATTTTATTAAAATAATAAAATTGTTTTTACTTAATACTTATACAGTAATAAAGATAAAAATTAAATAAGTCATAATTATTGAAATTAAAAAACTTGTAACTCAATTAATACTAATGTTTTAGTCTATAACTTATTATTTTTTAATACAATTAAAATAATACAAATAATAATTATTTATATGTTAATTTTTTAAAAGTTTATATATTTAAAATGTTTATAATTTATTTATTTAATTAAATAATTATAAATAATAATAATGGCTTATTTAATAAAATTTTTGTTAATTTTAACAATTATAACAAAAGTTAGTTTATTAAATCTAACAAATATCGAACAATTTAATAGACTAACAAATAGGGTATGTATTCAAACTAAAAAATAAAATAAAATATTTATTTAAAAATCTAAATTATTCTAATTAAATTTATTAATCTAATTTAACCTAGATAACTGGCGATTTACTTAGTGTACAACTATTGAAATCAGCTGCATTGGGTAGGGTTGCCAAACTGGGCGAATTTTATGATGGACGTACCGATACCTATACCGGGATATCGATATTCAATACAACAGGATTGCCAGCTGAGCTAATCAATTGCGTAGAAAATCATTATACTAGTATGAAATTTAGTCAAGATCAAAGTTTATGGGAAAAATTTAGCCAACTAGATGTCAACGCCCATATCAAACTGTCAGTATTGGGCGGACTAATACAGTTGGAAGGATCGGCCCGTTATCTACAATCCCAGCACCAAAGTGCCCGTCAGGATAGGCTATCGTTGGTACAGTCGATAAGTACCCGATACGAGTCGGTTAGTTTGGCAGAAACCGGTTATAAACGGGTAATCAATTTTGAAGCCTTAGATAAACTAGACGTAACACATGTTGTTGTGGGTATACAATGGGGCGGCAATGTTGTCGTAACGGTTGAGGAAACGGATCGATCGGAATCCACCAGTAATATGATTACCGGTGCCCTGAATGCACAGGTAAATGCTATTATAGCATCGATAACGGGTAGCGCTAGTGTCAACTATTCAGATAGTGCCCTAGCTAATATATCGGGGTATAATTTTGAAATCTATGGTGATATACTACCCGATAGGGTACCCCAAAATTTGGTCGATGCCCTAATATTTATGAACAAATCAGCCCTACAGCTCCGGGAGGCTAATGGAGGTCGAGGTAAACAACTATATCATCAATTATTACCTGTGAATGTATTGAGACAAATGTTTGGATTGGAGTTAAAACAGACGGCAATCATACACGAAATTAATACGGAAATTGTCGATAGAGTCGTCCAATTGTTTGATCTGATGAAACTAACCGATCAATTGTTGTACGATTATTGGTCGGAATTGTCGACAAAATGGGAACCCTATCTCAGAGATGAAGTTTTGAGTGAATTATCTGAATTACGTACAAAGTATAGCCGATATCAGAGTCTAACTACCAGAGCGTTGAGTGCACTGTTAGTTAAGGTCCGGGCGGGTAATGAATCAGTTGATAGTCTATCGGATGTATTGTTGACATCGATGAACGATAGCTATAGTAGTGAATCAATGAATAGGTACATGGTCAAATTGGATAAACTTAAAAATAAATTACAATTGGTTGAATATGTTCAACAAATACCAGGGCAATTAATTGTGGATAAGCATGCTAATTTAGAGAAAATATTATTGGAAAATTTCCAGAAAAATATCTATTGGCTATTCTATAGCTATGATGATAATACAATTGATTACCTAGATAATATTCAAGCTATATCATCGCTGATTAATTTAATAACAAAAAATGATACAGATAATTTTCTAGATAATCTATATTGTTCAATTAATTATGAAATAATTGATTTAGCTAGAGCTAAATTATTATTAAATTCAACCAACATGTTAATTAATAATAATAATTTTAATAAACCAAAAATTAGCATGTATAAATATGGTAAACTGATTACTGATAATGTATTACCATTGCACCATCCGGATACTTTTATTTATGTATGTGGCGGTTATGATGGACAAAATTATCATGATAAATGTTATATTTTTGATATCGATTTGAATCAATGGTCCCAAATTGAGTCAATGCCTACAAAACGTCATCATTTAAAATTAATTACGTTTAACAATAAGCTCTACGCTATTGGTGGTCGAAACGTATGTTAAAATTATTTTTTAAAAATATTTATTAAAATTTTAATTTAAAAACAATATTTTTATATAATTTTTATACTAAATTATAGGATATCAGTACTAATTTAGTTGAAATATATGATCCAATTACTAAACAATGGATAAGTGGCTCATCGATGATAATGAGACGAGAGTTTGTATTATTTTTTAAATTTAATTTTTTTTTAAAATTAATCATTAATTAAATAAATTTTATTTAATTTTTTAAAAAAGAGGTTTCGGTTTAACTATTTTTGACGACAGTATCTACGTATGCGGTGGTTATAAATCGGATGAAAATACTAGTAATAAATTTTATTTATTATTTAAAAAATTAATTTTTTTAAATATTTTTTTTAAATTAAATATTAGACACAAATTCGTGCGAATATTTCAATAGTGAAATCAATGAATGGATGTTTGCGGTACCGATGACCAGTGCACGTGACTATCATCAACTAGTGGTGAACGCGGGCTATTTGTACGCTATTGGCGGTAATAGTAGTCAACAAAATCGGGTATTAAATACTGTAGACAAATATGATCCAGCTAGTAAACAATGGACACCAGTTGCCAATATGTCGATAGCTAGGTAAATAAAAATATATATAAATTTTAATTATTTTTTTTTAAAAAAATTCTAGAGGTCATTTCAATGTCATATTTTTTAGCTTAGTTTAATTTTTAGTTAAAATTTACTATTTTAAAAATTATAATAATTTTTTTTAAATTTTTATTTGTGTTATAATTAATTTTTTTTAATTTACTTAATTTTAATTATCTATATAGATCATCATTTGGTTCAGTATCATTTAGAGGTAAACTGTATGTATGTGGCGGTAATGGCAATGCTAATAGTTGTATGCAAACATGCGAATCATATGATCCCGAAACAAATAAATGGACATCAATTGGTACTATAGATTTGATTTTGATTTTTTTGATTAAAATTTAAATAATATTTTTTTTCTATATTTTTAAATAAAATTAAAAATTAGCATCAATGCAATATCCTAGAGTATATATGGATTTGTTGGTCTATAATGATAAACTCTATGCTATTGGTGGCGAAAGTATAAATTTGTTTATTATTATTAATTATAATTTTTATTTTAAAAAATATTTTAATTTTATTTCATATATATTTTTTAATAATATAGATATAAATACTATTGAATTATATGATTATAGTACAAACAATTGGAGTAAATTATCAGAATTTCCAAATCAAATGTGGGATTTTGGGGTATTTTTTTTTATTTAGAAATAAACTAATAATTATAATTTTTAAAAATTTTATTAAATTATTTAAAATCAATTTTAATTTATTACAGTCAACAATTACAATAAAACAACAAAACTAATTTTTAGATTATTAAAAAAAATATTATTTTGTACATCATTAAACAATCAATATCAAGTTAAAATAATTTTACTGAAAAATAACTAATTATTAAATAACTAAATAATGTATTAATATATAATACATATACTGTATTAATATATAATACACATACTGTATTATATTATTAAAAAAAATCAATCAATAAAGTTATTAAAAATATATATTATAATTTCAGTAATTTTAAAGCCAACAATTAAATAATAATTATTTATTATTATTATTATTATTATTATTATTATTACTAGATTGTCCCGCGCAACATGTATAACTGTCCAATTCTTTTACTAATTTTAAAATATTCATCATAAGTAGTTTGAATGAGACTTAATTTTTCTATACAACTATTACATAACCTAATGTAACAAAACTACTAAACCAATACACATTATTTAGTCTAAACTCTTGAAAAATTTTAGATTTTTATATATATTTAAATTATTTTAACACAAATTGAAAATTTAATTATTTTTGCAAAAAAAATTTGCATTTGAAAAAAATTTACAAAAATTTAGCATATATAGCTAACCTCCCGGTGCCCTGTGACACACAATGTAGCAAAATGTAAGTACACAACATCTGTCTACCTGTCCTCAAAATCTACCAGTGCTCTATAATCATTTAAAATTTCCCATAGAAATAACATTGCTTTCAATAAAAATTGAAAATTTTAATACAGATTGAAAATTTTTGTATTTGAGAAAATTTTACAAAAACTTAGCACAGGTAGCTAACCTCCCGGTGCTCTATGACTCATATAATATAGCAAAATGTAAGTACACAACATCTGTCTACCTGTCCTCAAAACCTACCTGAGCTCAATATACATTTAAAATTTCCCATAGAAATATCATTGCTTTAAATAAAAGTTGAAAATTTTAATACAAATTGAAAAATTTTTATATTTGAGAAAATTTTACAAAAATTTAGCACAGGTAGCTAACCTCCCGGTGCCCTATGACTCATATAATATAGCAAAATATAGTTAGACAACATCAGCCTACCTGAGCCTAAAATCTACCAGTGCTCTATAATCATTTAAAATTTCCCATAGAAATAACATTGCTTTCAATAAAAATTGAAAATTTTAATACAGATTGAAAATTTTTGTATTTGAGAAAATTTTACAAAAACTTAGCACAGGTAGCTAACCTCCCGGTGCTCTATGACTCATATAATATAGCAAAATATAGTTACACTACATCAGCCTACCTGAGCCTAAAATCTACCAGTGCTCTATAATCATTTAAAATTTCCCATAGAAATAACATTGCTTTCAATAAAAATTGAAAATTTTAATACAGATTGAAAATTTTTGTATTTGAGAAAATTTTACAAAAACTTAGCACAGGTAGCTAACCTCCCGGTGCTCTATGACTCATATAATATAGCAAAATGTTATTACACAGCACCTGCCTACCTGTCCATAAAACCTAACTGAGCTCAATAATCATTTAAAATTTCCCATAGAAATAACATTGCTTTCAATAAAAAATGAAAATAAAACAATACATTTTTACATTTGAATTAAAATATGGTTGTTGATGAAATGTGCACGCATACAGACAGACAGACAAACAAACAGACAAAACAAATGTCTTAAAATGTTATCTTGATTACAACATATACTAGTCTAATATACAAATGTTTGAAAAAATTAATTTTATTTATTTTTATCTAAAAAACACAAGTTGTAATAAAATACTATTGATTAATGATATATTTTTTAAAAAATTATTATTATATTATATAAATTAATTATTAAGCGCCATTTTATATTAATATTTATAATAAAAAATAATAATAATAAACTAATAATATTCAACATGCAATTAATTATTAGTACTAGACGATTTTTAGTAAAATTACTAATAACTATTGTAATTCTACTAGATACATTTTGTTATAGTGATGATGAAATAGGTTCAGATTATCAAACGATTTCAATTGAAGATGAAAATAATAATGATAAAATAGTTTACGAAAAACATGTTCAACAATATGGCAATCAAGGTAGATTTTTTTAAATGATATTAAAACTAATATTGAAAAAACAAGCGTAATAAATAATTTTTTTAAAATAAATAAATAGGATGTGACCCTGATCGAAAACAATATCATTGTCCCAATAGTATATGGTGTTGTCGATATAATTCATACGGTAGCCAACATTATGCTGATAATTGTCCCGATGGACTACACACATGTATTGAACAATGTTGCGATAAACAAATGCATTACTATTGTCGTAAAAGTAGATTAAATGATGATAATAATGGATACTATTGTAAATATGAAGGTAAGTAATAGTAATAGTAATAGTAATAGTAATAGTAATAGTAATAGTAATAGTAATAGTAATAGTAATAGTAATAGTAATAGTAATAGTAATAGTAATAGTAATAGTAATAGTAATAGTAATAGTAATAGTAATAGTAATAGTAATAGTAATAGTAATAGTAATAGTAATAGTAATAGTAAATGTTGTTTTTATATGTGATATTTAACTTTCTCTTCACTTAAAAATAATTTAACAATATTTAATAAAATTTATATCTAGGACCAGATACTACAGCAGATCCAACACTTACCGTAATCAATTCAGATAATGAAGAGTAAAATAATGGTAAAGAATAAGATAAAAGACTAAAAAAGTTATATAAAAAATTTTGAAAATAAATAAACATTTGACATATAATTGTAGTTATTTTTAACACTGCAATCTAAAATAAAGAAATACCAATAAATATATGGAATATTATATATCGTGCGATAAATTAATACTGATAACGTTTTACAGTAATTTTTTTTAAAAAAATAGTAATTTATTTATAAATTAATTTAATATTGGTAGAATAGTAGAACATTTAAAATTACATTAGTATAAAAAATAAAATAATCTAATATTAAATTAAAGCATTGATAAAAAAAGTTATATTATATTATACATTAATTTTTTAATGTCTAAAAAATAGTTTTATCTTAATTTATTTGTTTTTTAGTTAAATAGAATCAATGAAAATTTTTTGTTTTCATTGAAATAATTAAAAAAAATAATCTAATAATTGATTAAAAATATAGATAAATATTTTTATAATTTTGTTTTCAAGTTAAATATTAAAATTAAATTGATATTACTAATGAAATACAATTAAAACTTTTTTTATTGTCAAAAAAATAAAATAATAAAAGCTTAGATTAAAAAAAACTTAATATTTAGAATTATTTTTATTAATATATAATTTTGTTATCTATTATTATTAAATCAATTTCACTTTTTATTATACAATTATAATTATTTAATTGTATAATAAAATCATTTTTTATAATATAAAATAGTTATATTTATAACAGTTATAATTTTTTAATTTTATTTTAATTTTTTATTTTTAGGAAATTATATATATTACAATAATGAATTATCAAATAATTATAATATATTTAATAGTATTTAGTTTAACTAATTATTTGATGGCTGAAAATATTGGACAACAAAATCAAACATTTGTAAGAAATATAAATTAATAAATATTTTATTCATAATAAATTCTTAAAATTTATTTTTATTCTATTTAAATATTAAAAAAATAGATTACAGATACTAATAAATGTATTTATTTGTGTGGAGGGGTTGTTAATAATCAATATAAACAAAAATGTATAAAATATGATGAAAATCGAGACGATTGGCAACCAATTAGCGATATGATTTATCAGCGATTAGATTTTAGCTTGATAGCTAGTAATAATAAACTATATGCAATTGGAGGATATAATGTAACATAATATAAATTAACCTAACCTAACCTAACCTAACCTAACCTAACCTAACCTAACCTAACCTAACCTAACGTAACCTAACCTAACGTAACCTAACCTAACCTAACGTAACCTAACCTAACGTAACCTAACCTAACCTAACCTAACCTAACCTAACCTAACCTAACCTAAATCTAAAATTTATTTAATCCTATTTTATACTAAAGGTAACCGTTGTTGGTGGTAATGAATTAAAAACAATAGAAACTTATGATCCTAGATCAAATACATGGCAATTATCGAAACCCTTAATTCTAAAAAGATAGTAAGTAAATTTTTAGATATTTTATTTATAAATTCATTCAGAATCAGAAACTAGCATGCTCATCTTTTTTTTAAATATTTATTTTATAGCAAAATGGCTGCTTCTGTAATTGATTCAAAAATTTATGTTTGCGGTGGTTTAAATAATTATACTGGTAAATTAGATATATTATTTTAATAATTGATAATAATTTTTAGCTAAATAACAAATTAAAAATATTTTTATTGATTTTTACTTTTAACATTATAGCTATAAAATCATGCGAAATATATTCGATTGATACAAATTCTATAGAATTTAGTGAACCTATGATTTATGCGAGATATGACTTTCAACTAGTTGCAAATAATAATTATCTATATGCTATCGGTGGATCATCTAGTTCAGTTGAAAAATTTGATTTAAAAACTGGACAATGGACTTTAATTCAAAATACAAATTATCGAAGGTAAAATATTTTCGTTTATATAATATTAATTTCATAATTAATTGTTAAAAAAATAATACTTAGAAAAATTGCTTAGATATGTTAAGATTATTGTCAAAAAAATAAATATTAATAACATAAATATTTTTAAATTTATAATAAATATATAAATTTAGTAAAAAAAATAAAAATTTAAATATTTTAATTAATTAAATTTATAGGACTGGATTTGGTGCAACAATATTATTTAATAATATATATGTTTGCGGTGGAGTAATGAGTAAAAATACATGCGAAAAATTTGATTGTAATAATAATAATAATGGCACATGGAAAACTATTGGTAAAAATTTTAAAAATTTATTTGATAACTTTCAAAAATAAAAATTAATAATTTTATCCAAAAATAATTGTAGATTCATTAAAGACCGAGCGAGATAGTTTTCAAATAATTAATTTGAATAATAAAATTTTTGCATTAGGATCACGAATATCACGTATCAATATTTATTTTATTTTTTATTAATTTTAATTATTTTTTCACTAATTATTATTATTATTATTAATTTAATCCGAAAGCTTACGAAAGCACTGTTGAGATCTATGACCATAAATCTGATCAATGGTTTCAATCGGATTCATTGCCGTATAGAGTTTATTACCATTCGGTTAATTAATTTTTTTAAAAAGTTAATTTATTGAATATTTTATTATTTTTTTATTGAAAAATATTTATTTTTTTTAAATAGGTTGCCGTATTATAATTGTTATTGAAATTGACCACAATAAAATAAATAGTTTTTTAATAATTAACATATGTAATATTTTTGTATATTAAGTAAAAATTAATATATTTGATAAATTGTATTTATTTTTATTTATTTTTTTGTCAATTAATTGCTTGAAAAAATACTTTTATTGATATATAAATATTATTTATGTATTTATTGCTAATAATAAAATTGTGTTAAAAATTTAAATACATTATTATAATTACAATCAATATTACTATTATTATAGTCATTATAGTTGTTATCCATAACTAAAGTCTAAAATTGTTATCTAATATAATCATCAAACATCCCATCCGTATATCAAACTATTATTGAGATCCGATTTAGTCAAACACCAGTTCCTTATCGATGACATTACACCCGTTGACGGCTTATTTGTATGCATCTGATGTATCATCATTTGATTGACTAGTTTTCTAACAAAATCATATGTTTCTGTTTTTAAATAACAACTTTCCATTGAAAAGTGTATTATAACTATAAAAAAATTGAAAATATATAATAAATTTTAAAATAAAATATTTTGAAATAATTTTTTTATTCACATAATTATCAAAGTTAAACAAATCCATAGCTATTATAGTTTAAACAATATATATAAGTTTATAATAGTATGAATACATAGTAAAACAGTATATTATAGTTATAATGTTAAATTAACTTTATATTTCAATGGATAACATTTGCTACACAAGCTATTAAGTGATGTTTTAACTATTATAACAAATATGTAATTTAGTTAAATTTTTATATGAAAAATAATCTTTTATCTCATAATAAAAAGTCTAATTGAGTTTTCAATTATAAATATCTATTGATTCAATTCCGTGCGCTACCTGTGCTATGTTTACTATGGTTGCATTTGTTTAGCTGAACCACCTAGTTCAATTTTGACTAAACCGGCCATAAATGACAATTGTAGATTAGCATCTACAACAAGTTCATTGAATTTATTATGCATTAAATTGACCATGGTAAATTTCATATTTATATAGGCATTATCGGTTGATGATACTAGTGAGCCGGGTAGTTTATTAGTTAATAAATTGATCCCCTTTAAATTGTGTTAATTTATTAATTAATGTTAAATTGGTTAAATTTAATGATATACAATAGTTTTTATAAAATAGAAAAATAATACTTTAATAGTTTTACATTTTTTAATTTAATTTTTTTTTGTTTTAAAATTAATTACTAAGGTTTATAAAAAAATAATAAATTTAATTTTCTATACTTAATTATATATGTTATAAAATTACAAAATATGTACAAATTTTATTTTTAATTACTGATACACTAGAAAATATAAATTAATTAATTAGCAATAATTAAAGAATTAATCTTTATAGTTTTGTTTTTCCAAAAAAAATTAACTAATAAATTTTTTATAATACTGTACTTTTGATAATATTTAGTAATAGTTAGTAATAATAGTTATTTTTGTGTTAAAAAGTTAATAATAAAAAACAAGACAATAAAATTTTAGTATTACTAAAAAATAAAATCAAATTAAACTCATATTTAATTATTATAATAATAAAATTATTTTATCAAAATCTAATATAAAATGTTGTAAACATTTATAATAAATTTTATATATTTATATATTAGCTATTTAAATTATCTTGTAATTCACTACTAATATTAATTTAATAAAATCATTTTTATAATTAAAACATCACATATAATAATAATCATATGTTTTATTAATACTAATATGATATAATTAAATAAATATTTATCATATATTTATAGTTTGAAAACTTTTCTATAAAATCAAATTTTTAAAAAAATAATATAATTTTATTGTATTATTTTCATATAATCATATTAATTATATTTAAACATAATGATTTATGTAAAACTTTTAATTTTTATTTACTTAATTAATTGTTTGACAACTGAATCTATTGAACAACAAAATAAAACTATTGTATGATTGTTGTTAAATACTGTTTATAAAAATTAATATCTAAATATTTATATTATTATATAACTTGTTTTAATTAGATATCTAATACAAATAAATATATTTATTTGTGTGGTGGGGTTATTGATGGTAAAGCTTCAGCAAAATGTATAAAATATGATGAAAATCGTGGAGATTGGCAACCAATTAATTCAATGATTTATCAACGTGATTTATTTAGCTTGGTAGCTACTAATGAAAAACTATATGCTATTGGAGGATATAATGTATGTAAAAAAATTGTAAATAAATTTGTAAAAGTATTTATTTTTTTAATAAAAAGTCAACTGGTGAATTAAGCTCCGTTGAAACTTATAATCCTAATACAAATAATTGGCAATTATCCAAACCGTTAAATATTAAAAGATAGTAAAAATAAATATTTTATATTTTAATAGTTTTTATATAATATTTATTATTTAACTTTCTATAGTGCTATGGGTTCAACTGTTATTGATAATAAAATTTATGTATGCGGTGGTATAAATATTGAAAGATGTAAAATATATTTAAAATAATTATTGAAAAAATTTAGACATTTAAAATTTATTTATATTTATATATTTAAAATCTATTTATTAAATAGATATCAAATCATGTGAAATGTTTTCATCAAAAACCAATTCATGGCAATTCATTAAACCAATGAATGTAGCTAGAAACTGTTTTCAATTAATAGCAAACAATGGTTATATTTATGCTATTGGAGGATCTGGATCACTTAATTCAGTTGAAAGATATAGTCTAAAATCAAAAGAATGGACATTTATTCAGAATACAAATTATCCAAGGTTTATAAATTTATTTATTTATTTGATTAAAATACATTTAAATATTTTTTGTTTTAATTTTAAGTATATAAAATTTTAATTGAATTTAATTTTAATTTTTAAAAAGATATTTGTTTGGTGCAACCATATTTTTAAATAATATATATATCTGTGGCGGTTCTAATAATATGCAAATTTGCGAAAAATATGATACAGATAAAAATACATGGATAACTATTTGTAAATAAAAAAATTAATATTAAAATATATTAATTAATTTTTTTTTGTTTCAAGCATCATTTAACATTCCAAGAGATTATTTTCAAATAATTACTTTCAATGATAAAATATTTGCATTGGGATCATCTCAAACAAGTAAACTAATTTAATTTTTGTTTAATTTTAAATTAATATTTTTTTTAATTTATTAATTTTTATATAATCAACAATAGATTATGGAAGTTCAGTTGAGATTTATGATTATAAATCTGATCAATGGTTTCAATCGGATTCACTACCATATAATGTTTGTGCTCATGGGGTATATTGTTTTATTTTTGTTTTATAAATATTGTATTTAAAATAAATAATATATTTATTAAAAAAAATTTACTAAAGATTTTAATTTATAAATAATTTTTTTATATCAATTTCTACGTTGTATTAATATAGGTTGCTGTTTTATAATTTTTTTTAATTATTAAAAATCAAAAAATAAATATATATATTCAAGTCAATTATACTATTTACATATTGCTGTTTTAATTTAATTTAAATTATTTTGTTTGATTTACATTGTTAATTGTTTTTTAATAAATTTAAATTAATTATATTTTTTTAAATGTTATAACATTTTTAAATCAAACATTTTTTCTTTTCCCAATAAAATTGCGCCAAACATTTGAATACATTATTATTATTATTATTATTATAATTACAATCAATATTACTATTATTATAGTCATTATAGTTGTTATCCTCAGTTATAGTCTCGTATTGTTGTCTAATATAATCATCAAAAGACATCCCATCCGTATTGTGTTCACAATTATTATTGAGATCTGATTTAGTCAAACACCAGTTCCTTATCGATGACATTACACCCGTTGACGGCCTATTTGTATGCATCGGATGTATCATTTGATTGACTAGTTTTCTAATAATCAGACGTTTCTGTTTGAATAACAACTTTCCACTACTGATAACTGTATTATCACTGATAAAAAAATTAATTTTTACAAAAAAAATCATTTAATAATAACTAAAATAAAATAAAATTTTTGAAATGATTTTTCACATACTTATCAAAGTTAAACAAATCCATAGCTATTATACCCAGACTATAGATATCCGATTTGGTTGAATACCGGCCGTCAAACACCTCCCGTGCCATATAGCGCAACGTACCGGCACCTCCTCTATGGTAGAGGACAGTCGACTCGGGGACTACTGTCTCGACTACAGCTGCCGGAGCTGTCGCTGTCGCTGTCAATGATAGTCCAAAGTCGGCTATTTTACAGTAAATACCCGAACGGGTCCGACAGTCGAACATAATATTCGATGGTTTCAGATCCCGGTGTATAACCGGTTCGGGCAGTGTATGTAAATAATGTAATCCCGATAGTAGTTCACGAAATATTTCTGTCGATATCATATAATCGAATGTTTCGGTAAATTCCCGCAAATTCCCGATATTGTCAACATTAGTGTCGTTAGTATCGGTTGCGGAAACTTTCTCTAATAGCCAATTATTTTTCCCCGATATAACATCCCTGAGGTTATGTCTATAGTATTTCATCTGTATATTCAAATAGCTACCGGTGCTATCAATCCAATAGGTTTTATAATCAATACAGTAATCGCTTTGCAGTTTAGCCATTGTTTTTAGTTCACGATAATCATTGGTTTCTATATAAAAAATTTAAAATAAAAATTAATTATAAATTAATAATTTATAAAAATATATAAGTTATTAAATAGATTAACTAATAATAGTAATATAAAATAGTAATAATAATAATAATAATAACTATAAATAATAATATTTTATTTAATAATAAATTAAATAATTAATATTATATTAAATAAAATTATATAATAATATTATTATAGCAATAGTCTAAAAATAAATTTAAAAATATTAAACTAAATAATATTAACTAACTATAACTACAATAAAAAATAATGTATTAATTAGTTATAAAAATAATAATATCTATAATAATCTAAACTAGTATTGAATATTATTTTTTTAGAAAAAAAGTTTAAAAACTATTTTTTTTTATTTTATTTAATAAAATAATTTTTTGTTTAATTCAAAAATAAATAAATAAAATAAAAATACTAACTATCCGTTTGAATACGTTTGACAGCATAGATCTGTTCATCTAATCGGTCGACAACTTTGTAAACCTGTCCATAACTACCCGAACCGATTCGGTCTAATAGTTGAAACTTTTCGGCAAATATTGACCGACAATTATCGGACCGTTTAGCCGACGATGAGGACGACCTCAAGGAATACAATAATAAACGGGATTTTAATGAATCAATTTCACGCATCAGATCATCGATTGTGGGCACCGGTAGTTGTTGTTGTTGTTGTTGACAGTTATCAGTCAATGTCGATAAACTACTAGTACTACAGGTGCTGCTTATCATTGATAAACAACTACTACTACTAGTAGTAGCTGTTAGTGTCGGTGCTGTCGGTGTTAGCATTGATGGCCTCCTCAGTGTCGATGTCCCGGACATAGAGGTATCGGTAGCCAAATTGGACAGTGATGTAGCAGTAGGCGGATCTGACGGCAGTATCCATATCTTGGGCACCGGTAGGCCATCATTGGCTGTACTACTAGTCCCGGAGCGCAGCGATCGCTCCAGAGTTTTCAATCTATCAATTGTCTCGTAGATAGCATTGTCATTGATTTGATGACTACTACTACTACTACTACTACTACTACCGGTGCTGTTATCCTCCCGGAGCCTATCCAACGATATACCCGAATCCTCGAAAAACTTGACAATCCCGGGATCGACATTCGAAAAGCTAAACAAACCGTTTCCCGGGTCGCGGCCAACGTGTTGCACGTGTTTGAAGTTTTCCGGATAACTAATATCACGTTTACTTAGAGCACGCGCTGCCGATAATTGTGTGGTTGTTATCTTGGATTTGTCGCACATTTTTTTGTTGGTTAATATTATTATTAATTAGTTTTAAAAAAATTATTAATTTATTAATTATTAATCACTTATTTTTCAAACTACTAACTAATTAAAATAAATATATATTTTTAATGTAATTATTATTATTCAATAGTAATATATTTTTTTTTGATGACTATATTATTATTAACACATTTTAATAATTTACTGTATTTTTTGTTGTTGTATTAAAACACAAAACAAAATTCATGTTTGAAATAAAATATATATCATATTTTATTATTGAAATACTAAAATATATATCATATTTTATTTTTATTTTATTTTTTTGAAAAAATATTTCATAATGTTTATGTTTTTATAAACATTATGTAAATAATATATAATTTTCATGTTTTTTATTTTAAATAACAAAACAAAAAATTTGAGACGACTTTTAAATATATACACAAAAATAAATGTATCACTAATACTACTAATATATATATATATATACATTAAAACTAATAATAATAATAATAAAATATTTTCAAAATGCAATGATGATTAATATATGAAAATATTTATATATAAAAATTATTTTTAATTAAATACAAAAATATATGTACAGTTAAATACCAGTTTTTAAATTTATATATTTATATTATTTATATTTAATTATTAATTTATTAATAGACTAAAAATAAATAATAACTAATTCAATAGTTTACATGTAATTATCAATTATATTTTTTTGTAGTCGTAAAAACTTAACCAATTGACTGATTATTATTATTATTATTATTAATTTTAGTATTTAACTGGCAATTAGTTAGTTTATGATTAATCAGTTTTTATTGTATGAGAAAAACAAACAATATATATATATATATTTTGCGATACGATATAAAACTATTTCTATGTTTATACAACAGTTAAATGTTATATATATATATATATATATATGTATATATATATGTTTAATATAAATATTATTTACTGTAATTGCGATAACATTTAATATACAGTATATTTTTGTCGCTATAGAAAATAAAAATAATAATTTTTATATTTATAATAATAATAATAATAATAAATATATGATATATATTATATTTAACATAAATACTGTATCATATTTCACTGTATATATATTTATATGTATATATATATATATATAATATTAAATTTATTATTACTGTATAAAAACATATTTGCATTTAGCAAATATTAAAATACATAAACTAATATATTATTAAATATTATATATATATATATTTATATTTTCTAATATTATATTGATATTTAACAGATAGTTTTATGATTTAAAAAAAATAAAATATTATTTTAATATTTTTTTAGGTTTGTTTTTATTATATAAATACAGTATAAAAGTTACAGTAATTTTTTTAAAACAAAAATAATAATAATTAAAGTTTATTAATTGTTTAAAATTAAGTAAAATATCAATAATAATAATAATAAAAGTTTTAATAATTCAAAATGGCATATCTGTATATACAGTATCAAAAAAATAAATAAATAATCAATGTCCATTACACTATATTGTAAAATAGGTTTACCTGTACCATTCATCAATCATAGCTAGATTATACTGTATCATATAGATATATTAATATAATATTAATAATAATCAAAAATTATTTGAATATATTTAATAATATATTTAATAATAAATTTAGATATTTTTTTTAATTTTTTTATTTTAAATAATAATTAATTTATTAATTATTTTTATTTTTCAATAATCTATTATTTTTTCAATTAATTATTTATATTAATTTACATATTTTTTACATTACATTTCAAATATTATTATTATTAAATAGGCATTTTATTTTACAAATTATTATTTTTAAAAACTTATAGTTTCTAACAATATAATTAATAAAAATTTATTATTTAAATTATTATTATTATGTTGTAACAAAATTGATTTATTTTTTTATTTTTAAAAATTAACAATAGTATACAATAGATTGACACAATTTTTTTTTTAGTTTTTAAAATTAAAATTTTTATGATTAAAACATATTTTAATGTTGTTGTTGATGATTTTTGTTGTAAATTAATTATTTAATCTCAAAATTAAATAAATAAATATATTATTATTTTTAAATGATTATCTAAACTATTAATAAATAAATTATAATTTGTTTGTTTGTTTTACAATAATTATTTGATTGCCCCTAAAAATTATTAAACATTAGATATATTTTTTTGTTTATATTAAAATTGACATAAATTTAATTAACAAATACAAAATAAAATGATTGTTTTTTTTAATAAATATTTTTTTTTAAATAATTTATTGTACATTTATATACAAAATAATGTTTGTTTTTTTAAATTAAATATAAAATAACCATGTTTAGTTGTTTTCGTTGTATCTATAATTTATTTATTGATTTTTTTTAACTTGATCATTTGCTATAAATATTTTTTAATTATTATTATTATTACTACCATTTTTTTAGTTGTCATTATTAGCTAGCTAATATTTACTAACTATTATTATTATTATTAAGTAGATTTATTATCTAAAATTAAATTATTTTAAAATTAAATTTAAATAATTATGTTCAACAAAAAATAAAATATAATAAATTAAAATTTTACTAAAAATTATCAAAATAATTGTTTTTATTTTACAAAATTTTTATAATTAACTAGATAAACAATAAGTTATTATTATTATTATAATTTTTTTTATACATTACATTTTCTAATCGAAACAATTGTAAATATTATTTATTTATTTATTTTTTCATTAAATAATAATTTAAGTATAATAGTAATTATTTAATTAATTTTTTTTTTGAAATTAATTAATTACATTAAAAATTTGTTCTAATAATAATAATAATAACAATAATATAAAGCAATAATAATAATATTTGTTTTTAAAAATAATATCTAAGTATTATTATTATTATTATTAGCTCTAAATAATCACAAATCACATGATTTACATAATTATATAATAAATTAATACATAACCGAAAAAACTAAAAAATCAAAATTTGATTTTTTTAATTTTAGTTATTTATTTAAATATATATTTTAAAAATATAACAAATTAATAGTTTATTTTTATTTAGTTATTGAATAGTTTATTATTATTATTATTATTAACCACATAATAGGTTGATTTGATTGTATCATAATTATTGATTTATTTATTATTATTATTACTTAATTTATTTTTTATTACTATAGTTTATTATTATTTATTAAATTTGAATAAAACACAAATTGAATAAAACATAAAATATTCAACAAAATTAAAATTTAACAATTTATATATATGATAAATAATTTTCATTGTTTTTAATTTAAATTATTTAATCACTATTATTATTATTATTATTATTAATATATATAATTTTTTTAAAAAAGATGATTTAAATGTTTTTTTTTGTGTCACATAAATAATTTTAACAATTATTTTAATATTATAACAATTTATTTGTTTGAATGTCAATCAAAATTTTTCAACAACAAAAAAAAGTTGAATTTTTTGAACAATTAGTTTATTTATATATATTTATATTTTTAATTAAAAATAATTAATTAATTAATTAATTAAATTCAAACAAACAGATGAAACATAACTGCAATAACATTAATCATTGTATGTTTGGCTCTTGAATTGATTTTTTGGGACATTTTCCGACCGCCCGGTGCCCGCTGTGGCGGACATGGAGACGATCGACCACTGCCTCCGCCACCACTACCGATGCCAGCACTGGTAGGTGTGGTTGGCGTCGACGGCGTTCGCGGCGAATCTCCGCCCGTCGACGGTCGTGGACTACTTGACCGACAGTTTAGTCGTTTATTGTTATTATCGCCGGCAGTCGGCGAAGTGTCCGGCGATAGTGTTACGGATAGTCTGGGCGGCGGTGTTGTAGTACAGCCGGTTGGACTACTCGGCTGACTACCTGAGCCACCGGTTTTGTGCCGATGCCTATGACGACTGCCCTGTCGTTGCATTGGCTGCTGATGTGGTGGTTGTTGACCACCACCTATGGGTCGGTTATATGGATGTCCAGCAGCACTACTGCCTATACTACTGGTACCGCTCATAACTACTTCCTGGAGCACTGGAAGGTCAGCAGCACATGTAGTAGTAGTAGTAGTCGGCTCACTGGTGGGCACCGGCATGTAATGCCGAAAGTGATCGTCAAAACTGTCATTATTACTATTATTATTATTAGGATTATTATTAGTATAACTATTACTATTAGGATTGTCTATAATATTCACAGTATAATGGCCTAACTGGCGGCCCATATCACCACTGGCCGTACCTCCAGGAGGTGCTGCTACTACTTGATGTCCATCATTAGTAGTAAACTCACGGCGATTAGTAGCCGTACTTGGATTACGTAGTCTATTGGCGGCACCGGTAGTACTGTCTACCTCCTCGTCCTCATCATTGTCTTCATCGTCATTGTCTTTAGTATTGTTGTCCATATCTTTGATTTCATCGTCACTGCGGCTAATATAGGAGTCACTGTAGGAACTCCTCCTCAACTTACTGGACCCGACATAACCGGGTAAATATGGACACGACTTTACGTGATTGAAATTAGTCGACTGCAGGTCCTCCTGATCCGTCTCCCGATGATAAAAGTAGTTGAAATTCGACACAATTACCGGCACCGGCAGTGCAATGGTCAGTACCCCGGCTATGGCGCACAGGGATCCAACAAATTTGCCCCATACCCCAACCGGTCGCATATCACCGTAACCTACGGTAGTCATCGTTACTACGGCCCACCAAAACGCATCGGGTATGGACTTAAAGTTTGATCGGTCGCTGTCGGCTTCGGCATAGTATACGGCCGATGAAAACAGGACGACACCGATCAACAGGAAAAATATGAGAAGCGCCAGCTCTTTCATCGATGCCTTCAAAGTCATACCCAATATTTGTAGGCCTTTCGAGTGACGGCTTAGTTTGAATATACGGAAGACACGAACCAATCGGATGACCCGCAGGATTGCCAACGATGACGATTGAGAGGACTTGGAGTCGGAAGCCGAATGAAATCGGGGTTCGTCTTCGGGTTTTTCGGCCAACATTGTGGCCAGTGTTACAAAATAGGGTACGATTGCAAAAAAGTCAATGGCATTCATAATGTCCTGTTTTTTTTGGGGTGGGGGTTGGGTTGGGTGGTTGTGTGGGAGGGGTTAGGTTTTTTAAGTTTGATTTTGAAGCACAGGTAGGTATCATATATGTATGATATGATTGATTGATTGCACAGTTAGTTGATTGTTGTTGTTGTTGTTATAGTTGTTGTTTATTTGATAATAGTTTAATAGATTATTATTATTATTATTATTATGTGATTAGCACCGGTAGGTTGTAATTTTGTTGTTGTTGTTGTTGATTAGGTATGAGCCCCCAAAAAAATATATACCATATTTTTGTTGTTGAGAAAAAAGTAGTATTTTTTTTATTATACAGTAGTTATCAAAAAAAATTATTAATTTTTTTTAAATATATATTTTTGTTGTTTTGTTTATTATATTACAAACAAAATTAATAATAATAAGTAAAAAGTTTTAGATTATTATTATTATTGATTTATTTATTTTTTGGTGAAATTATTTATTTTATTTTTAGTATCCAATGTTATTAAAAAAAAATTATTTTTTGTTTAATTAATTGTATCACATATTTGTTGTCAATAGTAGTAGTAGTAGTAGTAGTAGTAGTAGTAGTAGTAGTAGTAGTAGTAATAGATGAACATTAAATAAAAAAAGTAAAAATTTTATTAATTAAATTAATAATTTTGTTTTTTTTTCAATAAAATAATCAATAGTTTAATTTTAAAAATAAATATAACAATAATAATAAAAATTAAATATAATTATTGTATAGTTTTTTATTAAAACAACAAACAAACAGAAAACAAAAAAATCAAACAAAAAATTTTTCATCAATTTTTTCAATCATGCGTTCAGTCAGTCAGTCAGTCAAACATATTATAAAAGATAAAAACTAAAAAAATAAAAAAATATTTCAACAAAAAAAATCAATTTTATAGCCCATAAAACATAAATATCTAAAAAAAATAAAAACTAAAAAAATCTTTAAATCCTTGAAAATTGTTTCAACATTTTTATGTTGTTGTTGTTGTTGTTTAAGGTCTCAAAATATATCTATGTTTTTGATACCTATCTATATATCTATCTATTCATACATTTTTTTGTGTTATATTATTATTATTTTTTTATAAAACACAATATACTGTACTGTATATATATATAACAAAAAAATTTATTTAACAAAAAAAATAAATCAATAGGTATTAAATGTATCCAAAAAAATACCAGAAAAATACCACTAAAATCCTTTAGATTTAAATCTCCAATAAATATATATTTATATTTATATATCATATATATATTTATCGATATAACAAAATACTTGTTGTAAATACTATTTAAATAAAAAACATTTTATCATTTTTTTCTAACTTTATTTAACATTACATAATAAACTTTAAAAAAAACTATATATTGATTGATGACTTATATATATATTTAGATAGTAAGCTATCTATAGACAAGTTTAATACTTATTTTTTTTATAAAAACAATATATTTTTTTAAAATAAAACAAACATTTAAGTTAAAAATATGGAAGATATTAAAAAGCAATTTATATATGATATATACTTTTAAAGTTTTTTTTTTGTAAATTTTAAAAAATAAATATCAGTATATGATAAAAATATAAATTTTTTATGATATATTAAAGTACAGTACTGTATAAATAAATATATTATTTATTTATAAAAAAATATCTATCAATAAATTTATAATAATTAAAAGTAAAAATATTTACTATTAAATAACAATATGGAAACAAAAATTTAATTTTACTATTTAATTAAATTTATAGTATTGTATATTTACTAAATAATTTTAACACCCACCCAAACATACACACACCAACACACACACACACACACACCCACATGCTAACTAACTAACTAACTAAATAAAATTATTAAAACATCACTAAACAACAATAAAAATCAATAAACAAAAATAAAATTACATAAAATAAACAACAACAAAAATGTTAATAAAATAAAACATAACAACTTAAGTAATCACTAAATCAACAAAAACATCACAAAAAAAACCCATTAATTAATTAATAAATAAATAAAAAAAATTAACAAACAAACAAACAATCAAAAAATAAATTAACTATAATTAAAAAAATAAATAAATTATTTATAAAAAAAATTTATTATTATGTTTGAAAAATTGAAAAAATAATTAAAAATTTTTGTTATAAAAAAAACTAAATATTAATAATAATAATAATAATAATAATTAATATTAATTAATTAAATCAAAACAAACCTTTAGGAAAGCTATCTGCGATGGACACGATAGGAAACGTATGATAATTTCAACGGAAAACCATATAATACATACGGTTTCGACTATGAAAAACGGTTCGGTTATCGACGGTACCTCATCCTCGACTACACGGGACAGGTTGGCTGTTATGTTAAATATTTTATAATGTTTGAATTCTGGCAGTGTTTCCAAACAGAAAATCAATATCGACAGTATAATGATCACAACGCTTATGATGGCCACAACACGGGCGGCTTGCGATGATTCCGGATATTCAAATAGTAGCCATACCTGATATTATAGAGTTTAGGGTAGAGTAGGGTAGGGTAGGGTAGGTAGTAGTGGTGTATTTTGATCGGTTTGTCACGTTAATTAGGTAGGTATGTAGTTATTTAGGTAGGTATTGGGTGTGTTAGATAGGTGTGGGGTTATTTAGGTAGGTGTTGGGTTATTTAGGTAGGTATTGGGTGTGTTAGGTAGATAGGGATGGGTTAGGTAGGTGTAGGGTTATTTAGGTAGATATGGAGTTATTTAGGTAGGTATGGGATTATTTTAGGTAGGTATGTAGTTTAGGTTAGGTAACGTATGGGGTATGTTAGATAGATAGGGATGGGTTAGGTAGGTGTGAGGTTTATTTAGGTAAGTGTGTGGTTTATTTAGGTAGGTATGTAGTGGGTTAGATAAGGTATGGAGTGGATTAGGTAGGTAGATAAAAAAAATAAAATTTAAATTAATATCAAAAAATAATATATATAAAAATATTTTTTTTTTGAATATTTTGTATATAATTCTATTATTTGATTTTGACTTTATTTTTAGATATGAATAGTTTTATTATTATTTTTTTTTATTTTAATAATTAATTAAATTAATTAGTTAAAAATTAATTATTAAAACTGTAATTTATTATTTATAACAAATATATATGAATTATTAATGATTAGAAATATTTTTGTATATTAGATCAGTCGGAATGAACACATTATTTATTTTTATTTAAAATATTATTATTATTAATATTTATACAAAAAATATTTTAATAAGATTAACCTGATCAAATATAACCAAATTATCTAAATCCCTACCAAAAAAATAAATAAATAAAATTTATTTAATAATATAATCACTAATATTAACTTAAATATTGTATAGACTCACTATACATATATATAAATAATAAATTTCTAATATTTTATTTAATCTTATTATTATTAATCCTATTATCTTATAATCAATATTATTGTATATATATATATATAATATTTTAGACATTTTTATTTATTTATGATATATATATATATATATAACAAACTAAAACTAAAATATTAAATAAATAAATAAAAATATTTTTTTTAAAAACAAATAATTAATTAATTAAAGTGTGGGTGTGTTTATCACATAATATTTTTTTTCACCCAATCATCACCCAACCCATCCCTCCCGTACCCTTATTGTGTGATTGACATACCGGGTGCCGGGGGATGGGGGCGAGAGGTTAGGGACTATACATACCTTACGTTTCATTTCGTTTTTAGGCAATGGTTTTTCTTTTTCTTTGATAAACCCCTCGTCCTCCCTAAACTTATTGAAGGCTGCTTCACCTAGCTCAAAAAACTTGACCTCCTCGACAAATATGTCCAGCGGTACGTTGACCGGCCTCCTCAGTCGGCCACCCGATTGATAATAGTATAGTATGGCTTCAAATACGGCCCGATTTCGGTCAAAAAAATATTCATTAGTATGCGGATCGTAATACCTGTGCAATCAATCAATCAATCAATAATAATAATAATAATAATAATTTATATTATTTTTTTAAAAATTAATTATAATTTTTTGTAATTTAATTACATTTTTTAAAAAAAATTTTATGTTGTCTAAAAAATATTTAAATATATATAGTTTTTATAATTATTTATGTATACAATATTTATGTATTAATATAATTAGATTATATAATTATTTTTATTTTATATTGATTAGTGAATTTTGTTTCTGTTTTATCATATTATTATTATTATTACTTATTTTATTTTTTATAAAAAAAACTTATTTTGTTACCATAATGTTTGTTATTATTTTTATTTTTGGTGTTGAAAAAGTTATTAACAATTTATTAGGAAAATATCAATATATAGAGTAAATTTTCAATAAAAGTTAACAATCAATATATAAAAATATATACTGTATATATATATTGAAAATAATATATTTTTATGTTATATAAGTTATATATTTTATTATTTCTATTGTTAAACTAGACATAGAAAAACTAATATCTAACTTATAATATTAATAATAATATTAATAGGAAATTGTTTCAACACTTGGCTTAACTATAGTATATATATATATATATATATCATAAATAAAAAAGATTTATTAAAATATAAAAATATTTTTCTATATATATATATATATATATATTATAGATAGGAAAACATTTATAAGTGGGTAAACATTTATATATATATATGATATTATTTATTGATAACTATTTATTGATTAAAAGATGATATCTTAATAAAAATATATACAATTTTATATATATATATATATAAGCATTTTATTTGATAAGATACTTAACTAATATATTTATATAATATTTTTTGAGTCACTATTTTATAATATTTTATTTTTGTTGAAACTGTATGTAAAAAAAAATTCAATAATAATATCGTTAAAAATTTTTGTTTGTTTTTAACAAAAATAATAATTTAGTGTTTATCTAAAAACAATTTATTTTCAATAAACTATGTAATCAATCAATTTGTGATTTAGATTTAAATTGACATTTAATATAAATATATATATATATTATATATATAAATTAAGTATATATTTATTTATATATAAAATAATCAATAATATTGTTAATGGATTTATAAATAGATTAATTTATCACTAAAATTATAGATACAGTAGTAGTAAACAAAACTAAAAATTTTATTAATAAAAAAAATACTAAAAGTAATCAATTATTGATTTATTTTTTTAGAATAATTAGTAAATAATTATAAAATAATTTTTAACTAAATAACAAAAAAAATAATAATACTAATTTTGACTGTAATTTTTAAATTATTTAAATAAATAAAATAGTTTAAAGACTCATATATAGTATATAAATTTTTAAAAAAAAAACTGTAAACTATAAAATAAGTATAAAATTAATAATTAAATTAAAATAAATGTTTACTATTTATATAGAATAATTTAGTCTCATATCAATAATTTTATATATTTTAAAAAAATATATTAATAAACAATATAATAATTTGTTAAAAATTTAATAATAATAATAATACTAATAACTGATATTAACTGACTTAACTAAACAAAAAATTGTAGATTAATTTAATAATAAATAAATAAATAAAAACTAAACAATAAAATAACACAACATAATAATAATTATTATTGTATTATAAATTTATTATTTTAATTAATCTACAATTTTTGTTTTAGTTAATATCAGTTATTATTATATTAGTTATATATATAGTATATAACATAAACTACACAAATAAAAAATTACGATAAATAAATAAATAATTTTTAAAAAACTATTATTATTAATTAATTAATTAATCTGATTAACCTATTCTATCTATTTTTCTAATTATTTATACTATATTTTTGTAATAATAATAATAATAATTAAAAAAACATAAGTTTAATAATAGTAATAATAGATACATATTAATTAGCTAAATAAATAATTTAGCATCAATCAAGCACCTACCTAATACGTTTGGCCGGATCGCCTAACAATGTACTGGGAAACTGTTGCAATGTACGTAACTGTGTCTCAAATACCAGTCCCGACACATTGATGGTAACCCTTTCGCACAGTTCATGCCTATGGTGTAGGGGTTCAAATTTTGTACGCTGAGCACTGGGACCGCCATCCAGATCCAGATCCGACCCCCGCCTGGCCAGTCCTTCCTCATTACAGCCACCCAACAGTCCCTGATCATCCTGACTGATTTTAGGCAACGATCTACACAAACATATAATAAATCCAACGATTATACCGGCAATTATTAATAGTAGTAATAGAGCTGGCATTTTCATATGGGGAGGGGTTAGGTAGTTTTTAAGGGACAGTTAGGTTTTTTTGTTGGTGTTGTAGTCATTATAGGTTAGAAAACTGTGGGATATCACTGTTTGAATATATCATTTAATATATTTATAGTATAGGTATATATATAGATAGATATTTAATATATAAATAGATAAAACACGACATATTATATAATAATACTAATAATAGTTATTATTATTATTATTAGTAGCATTTAAATCACAATTTTTATTAATTTATTTTATATATATATATATATATGAGGGACAGTTAGGTTTTTTTTGTTGTTGTAGTCATTATAGTGTAGAAAACAGTGAGATATCATTATATATATAGTGATATATCATTTAATATATATATATAGGTATATATATAGATAGATAGATAAAACACGACATATTATATAATAATACTAATAGTTATTATTATTAGTATTTAAATCACATTTTTTTTTAAAAAGTAGTGTTTAATTGTCTACTAATTTATTTATCAAATTTTGTTGTTATAATAATTATTATTATGTAAGTTATTTTTTTTAAAGCACTGGTATGTTGTTGTTATTAGTAAAGCATTTTTTTATCATTTAGGATATGACATCCCTGTTTGTTAGTACAGTATGTATACTACAGTATATATATATATGTGTATATATACTGTATATATGTCTGCTCAGGGATGCCATATGTGTGGTTAGTATTTAGTTAGTACAGTATATAGTATAGTAGTCTCAAAATTAAGTGTATGTTATATTATCAACGATACAGCAATTATTTCAATTACAAGTTAAGCACTTTATTATTACAGTATTATTATTATATTTAATATCTAAATATACAGTACATATTGGATGTATATATATATATATTGTTGGGTATATACCCAACAAAAAAACATGTGTGTGTGTGTGTGTGACTAACTAACTAAATACAGTGTTTATTAATAGACAGCACACCCGGCATGACATGGTATGGCTCATACATCCCATTAGACATCCCATCCCATACACCACATCACTAATCTCTCATATCTATACAAACAATCAATTTATAGATAGATAGACAGACAGACAGACAGACAGAGAGAGAGAGAGAGAGAGAGAGAGAGAGAGAGACCTCCCGTTCCCATCAAAAAATTATTTTAATATCAAAATATATGTGTTTACTATGATATCAAATTTTGAATAGATTTTTAAAATAAGATAAAATATTTTAGAAAATAATATTTAAAAAAAAATTTGAATTTTCACAAAAACATTAAGATTTATTAATAGATTTATTTTATATAATTTTATTTTATTTTTTTCATTTAGTCATATAAATGTCACATTTTTTTTTTGGATAAATAATTTAGATATATTTAAAAGTCAAATTAAATTAGTAGTTAAACACACATATAATATAATAATTAACACTTAATGTTATTTATATATATATTAAAATAATTAACACTTAGATACCAGATATATATATATATATATATTATTGTTAATAATGTTTGCTAAATATTAATTAATTTTTTAGCGCATTGTTTTAAACGTAATATAATTTTATTATTATTATTAATAATAATAATACTAAAACATGATAATAATAATAATTACTATTTATTATTAATTAATTAAAACAATTACACACAACAACAACAAAAATACAGTTATTTTTTGAGTCATTTAAATTAAAGACAAACAAACAAACAAATAAAACAATATTTCAATATTTATTACACATTTATTTTTTTTATTTATTAATAATATATATTTATTTTCAAATATATTTTCAGTGACAAAACTATTTATAATTTTCAAAAAATATATATTATTTATTAGTAACACATTAATAATTATTTAAACATATTTAATACTGTATATATTGATATATATATATAAATATTTTTAGATACTCAACAAAAATTTATTAACACCACTAATATAATAATAAATAAATAATTATATGATTTATTATTGTTTAGTATACAGTATTTTATTTTATTTTTTATATATATATTTTTTTTGCTAACGCACGACAAATTGGTTTTTATTATAATAACTTATATATATTTTATGCCAAAAAATTATTTTTAAACACATTATTGTTAATACATATTATCAACAAAAAAATATATTTATTGAATGATTTTTTTTTGATATTTGAATAAATGAAACATGAAATATATATTATGTATAGTTTTAAATATATACCAATAATTGATTATTGATTATCGTTATTATATTAAATTAATTAATAATAATTTTCAAATGTCATATATTTTTTTATATTTATAGATTTTTATTTAAAATTTATTATTGAATGAATAATAGAGTCAATTGAAAATTAATAATGCAAATTAAAATTTTTTGTTATTATTAATATATATATATATATATATATATATTTGGTTATTATCTTTATATTGATAGTAGTCATAGACATTATAAAATATTTATAAACAATGTATTCACTATAATAATAATTATTATTAATATTATTAATATTATTAAACATTTTATTAAATACTTTCTATTTTTAGATATAATTTATATATAAAATTTATAATAATTTCAATATACTATAAGTACATTTAATATTATAGGCAATATATATATTATTTTACTATAATATAATTAATTTTATTGAAATTATTATTATTATTATTAGTATTATATTATTATTAGTATTATATTATTATTGATAATAAATTATAAATAGTTGGCGCAATTAATTGTTGACATTTGAAAATTTAGGGTCAATTTAATTACAAAACAAGTAATAATATGTATTTGGTTTAAAAAATATATATTATTATTATTAAATTTTTAACAAAAAAATAACAAATATTTTATATGTATTTCCATTTAGACACACATTTAGTAATAATAAAAAATATAATAATCAACAACAAAAAAAAATGTTTATAAAACTTATTATTATTATTGTTGTTATTATTATTATTATAAAAATGTTAAATCTTTACATTACAAATATACTATATATATATATATATATATATATATATATATATATATATATATATATATATAATAGTATGTATTATACTGTACTTTATATTAATAGTATATATACTATAATAACATAAAATACAGTACATAGCTATACATTATTGATGATAACACATAGGCTTTAAAGTAGGACTAGTGTGTTGTTATTGTTTTGTTTTATTTTATTTATTTTATTATTTTTTTGAGTACACTATTTGTATAAGGATTTAGCTTCTGGATCCCAGTGCTCACTCACTTTGTGTGTGTAGCAGTGTGTATGTGTTTGTAATTCATTCATTCACAAACACAATATATAAAAATGTCGTTAAATATATGGCATATCTATTGTACTGAAGTTTTTTTCCTAACTGTATATACGTTTTAGTACAATAAAATGTATAGAAATAAAACAAATATTTTTATATATATAACTGTTTGAATAAAAGACTTTTATATATATATATAATACTGTATATTATTATTATTATTATTTTGATTTAAGTTAAAGTTATTTTTGTTTTGTTTGTTTGTCTTATTTCAATGGTATACAATATAAACTATAATATACTAACACACACACACACACACACTATGTTTTATAATAATAATAATAACTTTATATTATATTAGTAAACAATATTTTTAGTCAAAATTTTTTAAATATATAATTTATATATATATATAGAGAGAGAGAGAGAGAGTCAATAGACATACACACACAATATAATAGTAACTATTTGTTTGATTGAATAGTAGTAATAGTCATTTAGTTAATATACAAACAAAAAAAACAAACATTAAATCACAAATCACTACAAATATCGGTGATATATATACAACTTGTATATATATAATGTATATATATAACGTATATATAACAACAATGTATATATATAACTTATATAAATGTTTCGTATAAACAATATATATACATATATATAATAAAATATTTACAAAATAAAACTATTATTGTTTTTATTAGACAGTACTTCAAGTTTAAGTACAATATTACTACTATTAGTATTATTATTATTATTATTATTATTATTATTAGTAGTAGTAGTAGTAGTAGTAGTAGTAGTAGTAATGTAGTAGTTATTTAATATTAAAATAGTAAAACAATATTATTGTTAAATTAATAAACTATTATAAGTATAGTATCAATAAAATATAAATTATATTAAATAAACAAAATTATTATAATAATTATTTTTTATTCTAGTTTAATAAAACACAATTTATAAATTTTATTAGTAGAAAATTATAATATTATTAATAACAAATAATTTAGTCAAACACATTTTTCAATAATATTAATAATAAAAACAATTAAATACTTCATATATTATAATATATATATAATAATTTAAAACTTTGTTTAACAAAATATTGCATATTTGTAACATTAATTAAATATAATATAAATGCAAAAATTTTTATTAAAAAATTTTTAAAAAATTTTGCGCAAACACACAATAGAAATAATAAAATTATTATTACTATTAAAAATATAACAGAATATTCTATATTATTATTATTGTAAATATTTTACTTTTTTAAAATTATTTTTTTTTTGATTATAAATTATAGATACTGTATATGTGTTTGTATTATAGGAATCGTATTATATTTATATATATATACTGTCTGTATATGACATTTGGCTTAAAATGTACTAAAAATATATAAATTTTTTCACTAATAATAATACTATGATATCGTTTTTGTTCACATATTATTATCAATAATTTGTATCACTGTTTATGTGTGTGTGTGTGTGTCTGTGACTGTTTTTGTATAGCAAAAAAATAAAAATAATAAAATTATTTATATAAAAAAAATAAAAATAAATAAATTGCACATATATACTAGTATATATAGATTTTTATTTCACTGCGCAACCATTTTATTGTATGTATCA